CAAAACGTCTGTGCCCGCTTGGAAGATCGGACCTTCGGGAACTGTCCAGATATATGACCTCACTCCTGCAATAATCACCAGACAAGTGCTAAATAAGGGATACATGTATTTTCAAAGCACCAAAAAGGGTCGGAACAAGGACAAAAGGAATAACATAAAAATGGGATGGTGTCATGTTGTTTGTTTGCCTATGCTGTGTACCCACTCTTTGCATCCATACTAGTATAGACATATGCATAAATGCTGCTACTCCACTTCTAATCCTCGGCGTGCATGCGCAGCGAGGGTTACGGTAGTTGTCGTGTGTGTCTGTCCATCTGTCAGTCCGTTACTCGACATCTCACTTCACGAGCCATGAATCGCTCCACAAACGATACCAGGTATTCAGCGTCGGGTATAGGTCGAAATTATGTGGGGTTTTCTCTGAAACTGCTGGGTTTGGGAGTTATGGCGTGAAACACGGGCGAAAAATCCAATTGCTAATTAAAACAGGCTTATCTCGAGCGGGTCATCTTGCTCTGTGTATCTTGAAGGCACAACGAATGGCGTGTATCAACTCCCGCATGCTATATATCTACTGCTTGTAGCATCCCGTATCAGGCTATCCGCGCGGGAGACCAACAGCTAAATTTAAAATCCTGTGAATTTAAAAAGAGGCATAAGGGATGGTATAAAAAGAAAGGGAGACAAGATAGGGATGGGATACATGAAGCATGGTTAATGAACAGTTGAGCACACTGACACCCCCAACCCCATCACACAATCCCTATATCGTTGCCTGGTGTGCCACTCCATTTGTACTCTTGGTTATTCAGTATAATATAGCATGACTTTTTCGTATTTTCAAGCTGTAATGTTGAATGTTTAATACTTCACCTAGGCAACATTAATAAATTAATAATAGGGATTGTGTGATTTTGTGATGGGGTTGGGGGTGTCAGCGAAAAGTTATGTTATGCGCATAGCTACGTACCAAGTTACATCTCCATGTGTGGTATAGATATACCATTAGCGGGTTTGAGGAGTGAAGAAGTAATTACAAAGAAAAGTTCCTGAGGCTTTTTGTTGTTGTGGTCGTCATGGAAATGATGTAAAACACATGCCCACCAAGTTTCACCTCCATGCGTGCTACAGTTAGCAAGTTTGAGGAGTGAAGAAGTAGTTTTAAAGAGCCTGAGGCTTTTTCAAACAATATGCTGTCGTCATGGAAACATGTAATCATCATGGAAATGATCACTAAGTACGGTAGTACTTAGTATATAGGGATTGGCATGGTACCTAGCATCATAGATGTATGGGGCTATGGTAGGGAGTTTTGTTCATCTTCTTCTCCTTCTTCTTCTTCAGATTCAACACCCATAACTCAAAAACGAAACAACATTATTATCACTAAGTACTGTAGTACTTAGTATAATATAGGGATTGACATGGTACCTAGCATCATAGATGTATAGGGCTATGATAGGGAGTTTTGTTCATCATCATGCATCATCATCTTCTTTTTCCTGTTCGACCAGCATAACTCAAAAACCGAAAGAGATAAAGCCATGAGATTTGGTAGGATTGTACATATCGATAACCACATGGGCAACGTCATACTTTTTTGTTTGTAAACAATGTTGTTTACTGTAAACAACAACAAAATTGCCCCAGGCAATACATTATAATGGGCAATACGTTATAATAGGCATACTACATGTGTCAGTGTAACTCACAATTGGTAAGAGTTATGTGAGCGAAAGTTTGTATACACAATGTAATCAATAGCCAACATCAAAATCACAACAATACATGTTTGTAAATAACAACAAATAGCCTCAGGCACTTTTCTTTAAATTAACTTCTTCACTTCTCAAACTTTCCAATGGTAGCACGCATAGAGATGAAACTTGGTACGTATGCCTATTATATCATTTCCATGACGATTACATGTTTTCATGACGACCGCATATTGTTCGAAAAGGCCTCAGGCAATTTTCTTTAAATTACTTCTTCACTCCTCAAACTTGCTAATTGTAGCACGCATGGAGGTGAAACTTGGTGCGCATGTGTATTACATCGTTTCCATGACGACCACAACAACAAATAGCCTCAGGCACTTTTCTTTAAATTACTTCTTCACTCCTCAAACTCGCTAACGGTACCACGCATGGAGGTGAAACTTGGTGCGCATGTGTATTACATCGTTTCCATGACGACCACAATAATAAATAGCCTCAGGCACTTTTCTTTATAATTACTTCTTCACTCCTCAAGCTTGCTAACGGCAGCACACATGGATGGTATACATTTCATTTCCATGACGACAATTTTTTCTCTATTATTAATTTTTATAAGGGCTTGCCCCCTTCCACAGAGATAATACGTAGTAGTATATAAAAATGAGTGGAGACAAGTAAATAAAAAATCCTGCGCATTAAAAAAAGAGTGCATATAGGGATCGTATAAAAAGAAAGGGAGACAAGATAGGGATTGTGTTTGTGGAAGCACAGAGATGCTAGCGAGGAGTTAGGACTCCCACAGGTCATTACAACAGCCCTATATCGTCGTACGGTGGGAGTACCTAGCATCATAGATGTATGGGGCTATGATAGGGAAAGTTTTAAATCTTCTTCGTAGGGTGGGAGTGGGAGTGATGAGAGAGTCTGTAGAATATTGCTATAGATAATGAAGTACTTACTAATTACCTTTGATAGATTTGTCATGCTACATTTCCATGGAGTGCACATTTAGGTGGAAGTGTAATCAGCTGACCATAACATTGGATATACATGTATATACATGGAAACATGGGAAAATTGTGTAACGCAAGAAAACAAAATTCAAGTATGCAAGGTTGGATGATATATTCACGAGGAAGTAGTAAAGCACCGATACGACGATATAGGGCTGTTTAATGACCTGTGGGAGTCCTAACTCCTCGCTAGCATCTCTGTGCTTCCACAAACACAATCCCCTATCTTGTCTCCCTTTCTTTTTATACGATCCCTATATGCACTCTTTTTTTAATCCGCAGGATTTTTTATTTACTTGTAGTAATGAAATTTTGTAAGAATGTAGATATCCGTCACCCGAAGAGACTGGTCATACTTATTTCTTTGTAAACAACAACAAATAGCCCCAGGCAATACATTATAATGGGATCACATGTGTCAGTATAACTCACAAATGGTAGGAGCTACGTGAACGAAACTTTGTAGACATAATGTATTCAATCACCAACATAAAAATTACAACAATACATGTTTGTAAATAACAACTAATAGCCTCAGGCACTTTTCTTTAAATTTACTTCTTAACTCCTCAAACTCTCCAATGGTAGCACACATCGAGATGAAACTTGGTAAGTATGCCTATTATATCATTACCATGACGATTACATGTTTCCATGACGACCACATTTTGTTTGAAAAAGCCTCAGGCAATTTTCTTTAAAACCACTTCTACACTCCTCAAACTTGCTAATTGTAGCACGCATGGAGGTGAAACTTGGTACGCATGTGCATTGCATCTTTTCCATGACGACCACAACAACAAAGAGCCTCAGGCACTTTTCTTTAAAATTATGTCTTCACTCCTCAAACTCGCTAATGGTATCCCACGCATGGAGATGGAACTTGGTACGCATATGTGTAACATCGTTTCCATGACGTCCACAACAACAAATAGCCTCAGGCAGGAGAAGCTTGGGGATGATGGGTTTGAGCATTTCCAGTTGCTTGATAGTTTCAGGAAAGCATCCTTTATATTGGGTAGTGAGCTGTGGGAGGATAAATTTGGTTCTTTGCTTCGCCTTGTTAAAGGTTTTATTTCGGATGTTTGGGAGCTAAGAAAGGTTAGGTTGGTTATATGGTGATAATCCCAGCGTACAACAGACCCAGTCTCAGATTGCGTCTGGGGAGCTGCAGGGTGTCGCTGGTGGAAGGGGTGAGTTGAAGTGTCTGGGAGGTTAGACAGACTCCTCATGTTCATATTATGGTGTATGTTCGTTTGTTAACGGTTCCGCCCATTGCTCTGGGTGCGTGGTCTATGGCCCCAGTGCTATGACAGCCACCTTATTACTTCTTCACTCCTCAAACTTGCTAACTATAGTACGCATGGAGGTGAAACTTTGTATGCATGTGTGTAACATCGTTTCCATGGCGACCACAACAACAAATAGCCTCAGGCACTTTTCTTTAAAATTACTTCTTCACTCCTCAAACTTGCTAACTGCAGCACACATGGAGATGAAACGTGGTATGCATATCATTTCCATGACGACAACAGACATTTTTTCTCTATTATTAATTTTTATTGGGGCTTGCCCCCTTCCACAGAGATAATACGTAGTAGTATATAAATATGAGTGGAGACAAGTAAATAAAAAATCCTGCGAATTTAAAAAAAGAGGCATATAGGGATGGTATAAAAAGAAAGGGAGACAAGATAGGGATGGCATACATGAAGTATGGTTAATGAACAGATTTGAGTAAGCTGACACCCCCAACCCCATCACACCCTATATTGTTCCCTAGGTGAAGTATTAAACATTCACCATTACAATACTCAGAACTTACAATACACTACTGAGTAACCAACACCGTTATAGAGTCTAAGTGGAGGGAATGTGGCAGTATAAATGTCTAAAAACAGACAGGGACATGGTGAAAGAATGGTTGCTTTTAGTAACCTTTAGCCCCTATAAGAGTAGCACACCAGGCAACAATATAGGGATTGTGTGATGGAATTGGGGGTGTCAGCTTCATTAACCATGCTTCATGTATCCCATCCCTATCTTGTCTCCCTTTCTTTTTATACCATCCCTATATGCCTCTTTTTTTTAAATTCGCAGGATTTTTTTATTTACTTGTAGAAATGTACATCTTACTCATGAATTTCTTAAAGCATTTCAAGGCGAAGACTGTGTATATGCATTCCACCCATACGCATGCGCAGGTCAGTAAACGGCCAGGGATACGGTGTAGATTTACACGTGGTCTCGGTCTGTCGCTATCTTTTGACAGAGGCTAGCAGATAGCGTTTTTAGCAACACAAGTCGAAAGTTTACCTCCATTGTAACTTCTGATTCATCCGCAGTACGCAAACACGGTCGAGGTAAGTTATTTGCATATTGGCTTGTTCACTTGGTTTTCGCGCTGTAACTCTTGAATGCAGTGAACTTGCCAAATTTAAAATCAAGCCATGGTAGCGTTGAACCCGTTGCTGTTGGTGTTGTTGTTTGGCCGGCTTGTTGCATGTGCAGACAGAAAACGTGGTAACAGACAGACACACAAACACACACACACACTTAAAACCAAGTATGGTCACCCCCGATGCTCATGCACACCGAGAGCTAACAAGATCTAGAAATCGGAAAAAATATTTGAATGTTCTAGCATTCAAGCTATGAAATATCAAAAATCTGAAAACCTCCTTAACTCTTATAATTATTTTTATCTGACGAATGTTGTAACCATATTTTTCGTTGCATAAAGTTGATATAGTTGGTGCCAGAGTGTTTCTGTAGCTTCACGTATGTATATCACTGTATCTGTAAAACTTATCTGTAGCTCTTACTTGTGTGTTACGTAATTAAGCAAGTTTTTGTATCTACATTATGAGATTATGTGCAAAGATTTTTTTTTAGGATTTATACTAGGGATCATCGGGTGCCTGACCGATATTACATTAATGACCAGTTAGCTGGTTTTTATGCACATTTAACTGGATGTGTGTATTGTTATAACTTATCCTTCAGTTGAATTTGTTGTGAAGGAGACACCAGTAAAGAAGCAAGTTGAAAACTACCGGCGATATAAGCTGCAGCGCTTGAGGTGAATGTTACCTGTATAAATGGTCAGACATCATTTATGTTGCAACATGTAGTAGACACATAATGAAATATTATAAGAGCTTAAGGTGGCTACCCTGTGAAAACTTAGTCATACACCACCTTTAAAGTAAATGATATTGAGCATGGGGTTACATTTCGTCATTATGGCCTGACACGGGCACGTAACACTAGTGGGTAGCATGCGTGAGTCGATACACGCCCTCTGTTGCGACTTCTTCTGCCTCCATGTGGTACAGAGCAAGCAGATCATGTCGAGGTAATCCAGTGCTGATTATTCATATTGGTTTTTTCGCTTGTTTTCATGGCATATCTCTCAAACGCAGTCGTTGCAGGGAAATCGCCATTTTCCTTTTCTGGTTTGCGTAGTTCTGAAGCCGTTGGTATCACTCATAGGCTGCCTCGTAGCCTGTAGTGCGAGAATATCTGCCCACAGACACACACACAGACCAGAACCCTCGCTGCGAATGCGCGCCAAGGGTTAAATAAGGCTAAAATATTTCTATGGGACTCATGGTAAAAATGAAATTTAATAGCATTCCTCAGCTGTTGAGCTAAGTGGCAGAACCATAGTGCACAATAGTCAGAAGATAACACAAAGACTCTTGTGACGAAATGTAACCCAATGCTCAATATTTTTTACTTTTCATCAGTTCGTCAACCCTTTGAAGTTACCCATTATTCCTTGTGGAGTTATGCATCCATGATGACAAGAATGCTAATCGTTACTGTAACATCGACCATGCTAACACAGCAATCATTTTGCTGTTTGCAGAGAGAAGTTTCTGATTTGTTTCTGAAAGAGAAAAGCCAAGAACCTAGTTAAGCATGTAATCCGAGACCTTCCGAACTGACTTCTCTCTGCTAATAGCTACAATATTAGCCGCGCTGATGGGTTATCAGTACATGATCTTCTGATAAGTGCATAGTTACTAGCCATAAACATACGTATGTAGCCTATAACTGTGTGCACAACAATACTGAAGCATATTGACCTGTGTTCAAGAAGAGCCTAACTTGGTACATGGCTGCAGGTACGGAAGGTAAAGGTTTGTGTATAGGTGTAAGATTTGCATACATATGTGTTGGCAACCATGCAAAACATTGCATGCACACTGTTATACCCTTTCCTGTGCTTTACAACCAATAGGCTTGTTGCTTCTGCTTTTGTGGGGAGAAGTCCTTACGTACTCTGGAAGTTGCAAAACGTTTCCTAAAGACATTCAACCATTGAATGGCTTTGCATCATTCCTCCACTTTCGCTGTAACACCGTTCTACCGTTCGTCTGTTGACCATCCATGCTCGCGCTTTCTTAACCTGCCATGCGCTATGAAAGAATTCACCCCGGGGAACTTTTTGCCATCGAAATCAAGAGTTCTTGTTGTCAACTTTCCATGCCAAAGGCCTATATGCTAAGGCTTAGGTTGTATAGAAGCAAGCTTCGCTACTAGCATACCTCCTTGTCCCATAAAAAGTGGGAGTGACACATACAGAGAGAAATGTTTAAAAGTCTGAACAGTGAACTGATGAACGTAAACTACATTTCATTGTTTCCCGTTTTACTGCTTCTCTGTTTAAGCGCCATTCAACTGTTGATCGGTGAACAATTTAAATAATTTCTTTACTTCTACTGTGGTTGTAAAATAAGCATCTTAAAGATAACACCTTATTCTCATAAGTGTGTCCTACGTGGCAACGTCACACTGGCTGTGTGACCTTACTGCATGCTATTAGAACCATTAACTGATGGATTACTCAGGCAGGTCTCTTTAGTTGGCCTGAAAGCAAAGAAGAGAGAAATACAAAAAGAAATCAGCATTTCTCACCCAGGCAAAGTGATTGAAAGACTAACAAATTACAGATCTTCCCTTTTCCCCTTATGGAATAATATGCTACCTACCGTTACGTACTGTTGCCAGGTCCAAGATGGATGTCAGTGATGCTAAAGTAGTAGATGTTGTGGAAGAGTCTCCCAGAAGATCATTCTACTCATGTGAGTCTGTGGGTGTTTTGTGAATCCTTGTTGGGTATGAATGAAGGAAGCCCACCAAGTTGTGACTGTTTGTCGTTCATGCGGTGTGGGTTAGTATATACAGTAAATCCTCGCTTAAAATACTGTTTATCCAGAGACATGTTATGATAACAAAATAGTTCATACTTGTCAATGGGCTCTTGGTTGTAATAGGAAGCCGCTGTGTAGATGGCCCAAAACCTGACTAAAAGTATAGGAATGCGCTGTAGTTATCCATTAAGTTGTCCACCCCAGGGCGAGGATGCAATACATTGCAGCATTTGTAACCTCCATGAGAGAAGGGTTAGGAATTCATTTTTTCTTGTGCATCCTATACTGTCACTTCAGAATCCATTTGTTGTACATTGGTTTATAATGAGCAATACCTTAAGATGAGAAGGAATGCTTGTAGTTAACAGTGGCACTCTGTCTCTTCCACCAGCAAAATATAGCTGTATGACTGGACAGTTAACTTGCTTGAGAACATTTTGTGTTCAACTGTTAAAATAATTTTAATTGCTCACACTTGTCAGCTTCATCAAGAAAGAGACCTTCTACATCTCACATGAAAGAACTTTTGGAAGGAAGAATAACACAAGCGGTCGGAAATATGACTCAAGGTAGTTGGAAGCCTGAAGCTTCCATCCATTGCCCATCTTCCTATGACAACGAGAATCCCTTAATTGAGGAAACCAACATTGTTGCCGAGTCTCCGTCATCTTCTGATTGGCAGAGTACAAAAAACAACAGTACTTTGCTACAAACTACAATAACAAGTGACGATCCATCTGTGTTTGGGGACTCCGCCTCTATGGTTGCATTTGCACTCAGCACACCAACAAAAGATGACAAGTTTAACTTTGAAAATGCTCTTGACACATTTTAGATCATTATTTCTGTGTGCCTAACTTATATATTAGTCATTCTTTGCTGTGCTCAAGCTTAATTTGCGGACTCGCAATTTTATGAGTGCAGCCTGATTCATTCTCTCGGATTAGATCCCAGTTGTAATTTTGTGTTCGGACTGGCAAGTTTTCAGGCTTGTTCGTTTGGCATTGGGAAATCAAGAGTGGCGTTCGATGGCCCCAGTTCCTCAGATCTGAAACGTTGGCTGACAGGAGTAAATTATGGGTCCAGCAAAGAGGAATTTGTGAAGCTGCGAATAGAGTATGGAAATTTTGAACGGGGATTGGGTTTCGATGATTTCCGTTGTAGCCTTTAACTGTTTTGTAATATCTGCTACCGCGCCGTATGTTAGCTCTATACTACGTAGGTAGTTGGTCAACGAATAGTTGAGTACCTCCTATGTGGCCTTTAATCCATTTGCCTGGTTATTACGTATGATATTACCACTTTACCAGCAATAAACTTAGCATTAGCGATTTTTATTGTTGTGCTCAACATAATTTCAAAAAATATAGAGATTGTATTGTCCTCCACTACACCGTCGCCACTCACTTACTCACAAAATGAGTTTGTTTGGTCAATGATGTAAAGTGTGAGGAGAATGGTCAGTAAGGAAAGAAACATGGAAGTCTTAAACTGCGCACAATTGAAATGTAGTCACGTAACTCAAAACCGAGGAGCTGGTAGATAGAGAAACACCTGTGCATTACCTGTCCTATCTGTATTACCACAAGCACAGGTTCGAAGTATGCAGCCGTCATCCATTATATGTGACCCGCTCTGGGAAAAGGCACAATTCGGCGCAAATATAGATTATGGGGCGCCGTCTGTCTCAAAATTTTGCAAATAGCTGTTTTTTGTTATCCCGCGCTTCATTTCTAAAATCCGCGCCGGTTATACAAATCCCTTCTGGATTATACATACCCCGGACTGGATATAGCATATCCCCGCTCCGGATATATAAATCCTGCACAGGATATAAATCCCGCACTGGATATAAATCCTGCACTGGATATAAATCCAGTGCAGGATTTATATATCCGGAGCGGGATATGCTATTTCTGGAGCGGGATATGCTATATCCAGTGCGGGATATGCTATATCCAGTCCGGGGTATGTATAATCCGGAAGGGATTTGTATAACCGGTGCGGATTTTACAAATGACGCGCGGGATAACAAAAAACAGCTATTTGCAAAATTTTGAGACAGACGGCGCCCCATAATAGATTTTCCGATATGCGCGTATATACCAAAAAAAACTCGATGGTTTTGCCAAATATAGTTTATGACACAGGTGAAAACTATAACCTAGTGTGTACCTTTTCGCGTTGGAACGAAGTCGATCTACCGCTCGTAGCGCCAGCAGCGTCTCCTCGTAGTTGTGGGCGTTGCCTCCGCGTGTATTATTATTATTATTATTATCACATGCCAATAATAAGGCACAAAAAAGAAAGAAGAGATGATGAAATAAGGAGTTAAGAACATGATAATTTAAAAAGAAGCTCTTCAAATGGCGATACAGGACCAAAAACATAACGGATAGAACGAATAATTTGGGCAACATTTGTAACATGATCAGTATATAATATTATGTTTCATTTTGTAAGAGTAAATGACCAAACATGAAATTATGTCCAACGAAGGTATAAGCTAAAAAACATGAGTCATGAAATATACGCGAGACAAATGACGAATTTGACATAAGGCCAGAATTATAAAATTTAATAAATCTTCCATAAATTATTCGAAGTATGTTTGTAGTCTTAGCAACACAGTGTACTATGGAAACATGACAACGGGAGGGCAAGTGGCAAACTTTTCGCATGATCTTGTTCAGAGCAGTTTGAAGAAAGTACAAATTCTTTGACCCTAAATGCCAAAGGCAACAACCATAAAGGGCGAGACAATATAACTTAACAAGAAAACATTTGACATAACTATCAGCAAAATAGAAAGTACAGAGAGAACAATTAGCTTTTTGGTTCAGATCTTTGAGTGCACGGGTTACATCAGGTCCATCGTTTAGGTCAAAGGATAGCACATGTCCAAGATGTATGACTTCATTTTTATATGGAAGAGCAGTGTTGTTGAATGTGATCAGTGGTAAAAAGCGACAGTTTTTGCAAGAACGAAAACAAATAAGCTGAGTTTTACTAGCATTGAACAACAAACCATGATCATGAGCATATAAACTGCATATATCCAACATCCGTCTAAGAGCAGACGCACATGGAGCCAGGATAACAATGTCATCTGCATAGCAGAGTGCTCCTGCAAACATGTGACCCCAATAACAACCAACACCAGAGTCTGATAACTCTTCCAACAAACCATCCAAGTAAACAGCAAATAAAACTGGTGAGAGGACTCCACCCTGTCTGACACCATTTGAAACACCAAAAGGTTCGGAAAAACAACCACCCCAACGAACTCTCATCTCCTGTAAGCTATACCAATTTACCAAGAATCGAAGAATTGGAGTAGGCAAGCCCCTATGTTATTGCGTCATACGCAATATCTCGAAATAACGCGCACGGAAGGGTACGGCGCTCGAACGGAAGCAGTTACGAAGGTGCGGTTTTCTTCGTTGTATGCAGCGTGCGTGCGTTGCGCTTTCGAACAATACGCGTAACGCAATTTTGAATTTTTGCGCCGAATTGTACCATTTCCCAGAGCGGGTCACATATTACTTGGTCATCCCTGTCCCTTGTTTTTGGTTTACACAAGCTTTACTTGTTCAATTTTGATTTGAGAAACATGCTGCTGGTTGGCTGCAGTGCATACAAGTAAATAAAACATTCTGCGAATTAAAAAAGTGTGGAATATAGGGATGCCATAAAAAGCAAGGAGACAAGACAGGGCAGGGCATGTGATGCAGTAGTACAATGGGATGATTGTTACACCTTCAAACTGAAATTTTTTGCTCATGTAAATTTTACTCCACACAAGCCCTATATTGTCGCCACTCTTACTCATGACATGAGTTTTGAATAGTGTAGTGTGAAGACTGACAAACGAATTCTGTAGGGAAAGCAGCATTGTAAAACCGGTTAGTTGAGCGAACATTGAAGTAAACACAGTCACAATTCAAAACTGAGGACCTGTCAGAGAGGGCAGTCATACGTGCATAGGAAACGAGTCACATCATACGATAGAGATCACTTGTACTTTGCGACAATATAGGGCTTGTGTGGAGTAAAATTTACATGAGCAAGAAATGTCAGTTTGAAGGTGTAACAATCATCCCATTGTACTACTGCATCGCATGCCCAGGTCATCCCTGTCTTGTCTCCTTGCTTTTTATGGCATCCCTATATTCCACACTTTACTTGTCTCCTGTCCTTTTTTTACGGCATGCACATGCATTGGGGCATAATGTCCATAATTATAAAAAGTAACGTGTATTTATTGCCTCAGAATCTTAGTCGTCATCTACATACATTTATATTTCACTTCCAAAGTAGATAAGTGTACAAAGTTATAGGAAAAACGGCACTTAATTGTCTGAGGCTGTTTGTTGTTGTTATTTACAAACTTGTAATTCATAGTAAATCAGTGTACCAAGTTTGATTGTTTAAGGACCCACAATAAACAAGTTACAGGCACAAACATCATTTACAAGTATTTATTGCCTGAGGCTGTTTGTTGTTGTTTACAAACTTGTAATTTATATTTCGATGAACTCTCATCGTTGTAAATCAGTGTACCAAGTTTCGTAGTTAGAGGACCCACAATATGCAAGTTATAGGCACAAACATCATTGTATTGCCTGAGGCTGTTTGTTGTTGTTTACAAACTTGTAATTTCTGTTTCGACGAACTCTTATCATGGAACATCAGTGTACCTATTTTCATTGTTAAAGGTCCCACCATAAGCAAGTTATAGGTAATAATATAGTTTACAAGTTTTTATTGCCTGAGGCTCTTTGTTGTTATATACAAACTTGTAATTTCTGTTTCACTCAACTCTCATCATGGTACATAAGTTTACCAAGTTTCATTGTTAGAGGACCAACCATAAGCAAGTTATAGGCACAAACACATTTTACAAGTTTTTATTGCCTGAGGCTGTTTGTTGTTGTTTACAAACTTGTAATGTTTACATTTTGATACTAATGATTGGTTGCATGTGTGTACAAAGTTTTATCACTCTGGGTATTAGCTTTACCCAGTTAGCACACTTTATTTGTCTCTATAATAATGTGTTGCCTGGGGCTATTAGTTGTTTACAAAGAAAATAATAAAATGCTCTTGCACGACCTGTCATGGATTCCAATCTTTGTGCAAAGTTTGATCTCCATATCTTACCTGGTTTTTGAGATACGCTTGTTGAAACTGAACAACAACAACAAGAACAACAAGAAAAAGAAGAAGAACATTTAAACGTGGCTTTTTTGAAAAAATTAAGTACCGATTATGCGATTTAATCAATTTCTTTGATACATGCTGTTTGTTACGATACAAATTAGTCTGACGTGGCAAAAGTTGAAATAGAAAGTGAAACATGAAAATCTCAAATGTATGGGCATAATGCAGGACAACCTGTGTCATCCCTATATCACTAAGTACGGTAGTACTTACCGTATTTCCTCGAATAAACGCCGCACTCCGAATAGTAGCCGCCCTCGAATAGACGCCGCACGTAACGTCCGCGCGGTGTAATAGTGGGCGCCGCCCTCGAATAGTAGCCGTATTTAATATTCATAGAGAAATGCGCATGCGTACAATCACGTGACGCCAAACGTTGACGTTAGGCGCCTATATATAGGTGCGAAATTGGAAGCTAGCTAGCAGCCAGCTGCGTGCATGAGATGGCAGAGGCTACAGCCAGAAAGAAGAGGAGCTTTGATGCATCGTTTAAGCTGAAGGTCATTGACTATGCGCCTCTCGGGAGAAGGCGTGGCTCCGCGAAGCTAGCGCGCGCCGTGCTCTGCGAAATAAACGCCGCCCTCGAATAGGCGCCGCGGGTTAGTGGCGCTGAAAAAAATAGTAGCCGCGGCTACTGATCGAGGAAATACGGTAGTATAATAGGGATTGGCATGGTACCTAGCATCATAGATGTATGGGGCTATAATAGGGAGTTTTGTTCTTCTTCTTCTTCTTCAGATTCAACACCCATAACTCAAAAACGAAACAACATATAGCAATGAAATTTTGTAAGAATGTAGATATCCGTCACCCGAAGAGACTGGTCATACTTATTTCTTTGTAAACAACAACAAATAGCCCCAGGCAATACATTATAAAGGGATCACATGTGTCAGTATAACTCACAAATGGTGGTAGGAGCTATGTGAAGGAAACTTTGTAGACATAATGTATTCTATCACCAACATTAAAATCACAACAACACATGTTTGTAAACAACAACAAATAGCCTCAGGCACTTTTCTTTAAATTTACTTCTTCACTTCTCAAACTTTTCAATGGTAGTACACATAGAGATGAAACTTGGTATGTATGCCTTATATATCATTTCCGTGACGATTACATGTTTCCATGACGACCGCATATTGGGTGAAAAGCCTCAGGCAATATTCTTTAATATTAGTTCTTCACTCCTCAAACTAGCACGCGTGGAGGTGAAACTTGGTGCGCATGTGTATTACATCGTTTCCATGACGACCACAACAACAAATAGCCTCAGGCACTTTTCATTAAAATTACTTCTTCACTCCTCAAACACGCTAACGGTACAATGCATGGAGATGAAACTTGGTACGCATGTGTGTAACATCGTTTCCATGACGACCATAACAACAAATAGCCTCAGGCACTTTTCTTTAAAATTACTTCTTCACTCCTCAAACTTGCTAACTAAAGCACGCATGGAGGTGAAACTTGGTGCGCATGTGTATTACATCGTTTCTATGACGACCACAACAACAAATAGCCTCAGGCCCTTTTCTTTAAAATTACTTTTTCACTCCTCAAACTCACTAACGGTACCATGCATGGAGATGAAACTTGGTACGCATGTGTGTAACATCGTTTCCATGACGACCATAACAACAAATAGCCTCAGGCACTTTTCTTTAAAATTACTTCTTCACTCCTCAAACTTGCTAACTAAAGCACGCATGGAGGTGAAACTTGGTGCGCATGTGTATTACATCGTTTCTATGACGACCACAACAACAAATAGCCTCAGGCCCTTTTCTTTAAAATTACTTTTTCACTCCTCAAACTCACTAACGGTACCATGCATGGAGATGAAACTTGGTACGCATGTGTGTAACATCGTTTCCATGACGACCATAACAACAAATAGCCTCAGGCACTTTTCTTTAAAATTACTTCTTCACTCCTCAAACTTGCTAACGGCAGCACACATGGAGATGAAACATGGTATGCATATCATTTCCGTGACGACAACAGGCATTTTTTCTCCATTACATTTTTATAGGAGCTTGCCCCCTTCCACAGAGATAATACGTAGTAGTATATAAAAATGAGTGGAGACAAGTAAATTAAAAATCCTGCGAATTTAAAAAAAGGCATATAGGGATGGTATAAAAAGAAAGGGAGACAAGATAGGGATGGGATACATGAAGCATGGTTTATGAACAGATTTGAGTACGCTGACACCCCCAACCCCATCACACAATCCCTATATTGTTGCCTAGGTGAAGTATTAAACATTCACCTTTACAATACTCAGAACTTACAATACACTACTGAGTAACCAACACCCTTATAGAGTCCAAGTGGAGTTTAAAAGGGAATGTGGCAGTATAAATGTTACTAAAAGCAACAGGGACACGGTGAAAGAGTGCTTGCTTTTAGTAACCTTTAGCCCCTACAAGAGTAGCACACCAGGCAACAATATAGGGATTGTGTCATGGGGTTGGGGGTGTCAGTGTACTCAAATCTGTTCGTTAACCATGCTTCGTGTATCCCATCCCTATCTTGTCTCCCTTTCTACCATCCCTATATGCCTTTTTTTTTAATTCGCAGGATTTTTAATTTACTTGTTATACTAACTTTGTGTTACGTGACAGTCATGCATTTACGGTGCCTATGCGCATGCGCGCGCATATCTAAACGCACGCCCCCTCTTCGCGCAGCAGGGCCTAGGGGGGGAGGCTGTCGGCCAACTGTTCAACTTTCAGTTTATGGTATAGTGTCGTTACACTTATCGTCTCTGCTAGGGATAGGCGACCCAGCTGATCAACTTGCGTGTATTATAACTTGGACTTCTGTCTGGCAACACTGTTTGAAATGTCAAAGGTAGAGTAAGTTTATAGCAGCTAACGAGAGGGGGCGGTGGGGCTACACATCGTGCAGGTGCTCTAGCAACTAGTGCCACCTGTGGCGTCGTCGTTATGTGCCAGTGCTTAGTGGGTGATGTAGAAGGCAAGGGAGTAAGCAAACTTGGAGCACTGTCCACTTGGCTTTGTGCTCATTATTATTCGTGTGGTGTGGTACTTACCTGGCTCTCCTATTACGTAGGGTGCAGGTGGACCAGCAGCATCCTCTTTCAGCAACCCAAGAAAGACTGGGTGGCTCTACAAGCGTGGTGGCAGTGGGATCAGTTCACACTGGAAGAAGAGATGGTTCATTGCTGATGACCACTACTTATTTTATTACAAGACCCCCACTGTAAGTATTTAAATGTAGTTTCTGCTCTGAGATGTGTTGTGTGGCAATCCCAGCAAATACTATTGTCTCATAGTTATAATCCCATATGCATATTATATACTAAGTGCAAATCTGTAGGACAAAAAGCCGGTTGGAATTTTATGCTTACAAGAGTATGGATCATGTCAGAAGGCAGATGTGAAAGAATGGAAAAAGTCTTTTTCTTTCATTCTAGGAAGATCAGAGGTATGTACTGTGATCATGTTATTGACTGCTGTATAGTATACATACATGTGTATTTGCACACTCCTTGTTTATGTATTGGTCCATCAAAGAAGCGGACTATGTTCTTCAGTGGCCTTATATGTATGTGTGTGAGTGCTGTTCAGGATGTGTATTCAGTCCCACCAGCCTAAGGGTTTATGGTTATGTAAAGATGTCACTATGGCAATTGTATTTGCAGCTATGTTTACACTCAAAATGTGTTCACTGCCCCCATGTACACATCTGTATTCTCCCTGTTTTTGAAATGCTGCTGAACGGGGAGTTTGAAGGTATACATACCACATGTAAACGTTCACATTATGTTGTAGGTGTACTTGTCCATGGTAGTCACTGTGAGTTAACAAACAGAACTGTGCACATGGTTGTTAAGGTGTATGGTTTTAGTATGGTAAAGTACAGCAGTAGGATATGGGTGGAGCAGGGTATATAGCGTGTTTATGGCAAAGTAGATGTAGGATGGAGTCACATGAGTAACTGTAGTGTAACAGTCTTCCCTAGGCCAGTACATGCTGGTGCTATAGTGTTAGTTGTAACCTTACCTGTAGCATAGCCAGGTAAAGTTTGGAAGTTCAGGGTGTATTAATACACAACTGTGCTGCATGTACGTACTTTTGTGTGAACATGTACATGGAGTGAAATGTAGTTTTCGTCACACTATCTTCATGTCAGATTATTCCTTACCCATTCAGACTTACAGAGGAGTTGTACTCCTGTACTCCATTGGTCTCCACAGTATTAAGCTTGAGCATTATTTATGGTTTTATAGGGGCTTCCAGAGAACACAGAGAGTGGTGGGGGAGGAACTACAGCGGGAAAAGACTATGTGCTGTATTCAGACTCTGAAGGCAATATGAATGCCTGGATACAGGTAAATCTCAACTCCAAGTAGTACTTACATTATGTCAAGTGATAAGACATGCCATGCCATTACTGCAGGCATTGCAAGAAGAAATGAAATCGTCAGGGTCATATGTCAGTGGTGGTCCTGTCAATTACGGAGGAAGTAGTAAAGTAAAGGTTGACCAGAAAGCTATAGAGGAGGTACATGATAATTACGATGCAGGTGTGTAGTTTATCTCCTTCCTGCGTGCAGTACATGTCTTTAACTAAGTAAGGGTAAGGGGCCAGTGACTATTACAGACTAGTCAGCTGCGTGTAATGCTATGCTGCTGTACTGCCTTTTTTATTTTGGCCATCTTATATTATATGTATGTAATTTGTGGACCAGTGACAATAGTGACGAACACCAATTTTTGCCAGGTGTGCATTATGGTACACCAGGTGTAGGTGAACCAGGAAAATGATGCTTAACAGTTTGTTTTGGCCATGCAAAATGACAGAGGAAACGGCGTGCCATATCAGCAGGAATGCAAAATGGCCCAGTGAAGACAGCCCCTGCTGTTTAAAGCTCTGCATGGACAGTTGACATTACTTGGGATGGGTTCACAGTATTTTGCAAAGGCTAGTGAACGCAAAATACATGAATGAAAAATTAGTTTTAGTGGTTGGTGAAAGTTTATAGTTAGTACAGGAGGGATCCACAGGCAGTGCAGTGGTCCACCTGCCATGCCAGTCTCCAGTAAACAAAAGTATTCAGACCTGGTATCATTTTGTAGTTGATGTTGGGAGTCTCTACTCAATATTGGCCACCTTACAAACCAAGGCAATGTGCCTTCACGTTGGGAAGGAAGTTGGGACATGAACCTCAACGTCAATAATACTATGTTCCTTTAGCCATTTGAGTAGTACTTTAATAACAATCACTAAACTCAATATTTTTTTAAAGAAACACCAATGTATTGAAGTCACAAGTCTTTTAGCTAACTGATGTAGCTGCTACAGTGCTACAGGCAAACAGAAGTTGCTTACTGTACAGAAGGTACATATTGTACTGTTGAGGAGACCACATCCTCCTCCATAGACTTCTACCAGAGTTTATTTTTGGCTGAAGAAGAGCCTGGTAGACACTTTAAAGCTCATAAACATATTCCATCTTCCATAGTTAATCTATTACAGTGTGTGGGGTTCTACCCCCATGTGATATAGAGCAGAGGGGTAGCCAAGAAGCGATTTAAACAAGAGCGAGCTTTTTAACAATCAGACCAATGTATTGTGACTGTCAACTCCTCTGTAGAAGACCCACAACATGAATATACTTGTGGTACTTTTGGTATGTGGAGTGCCATAACAGTAAGTGGTTGAGAATGGTGATTTACCTACAAGTGCCGTTCTAATACTGCGTGGCTGCACAGAGTGTTGGTTGTAGTTGATTTGTTCGTTGTGCCTTTGCTTTTCTACCTCGTAGTTTTCACATGCGTTAAAAAGCCTACCTTTGTTCAGGTGGAATTCCCAGAGCTGTGTTATGAATGGTTGCATAATTAAGGTGACATTTCAAATTGGTGTTGAATACTGATATGTGACTGAAGTGAGTCAACACAAGCAATAAATCGCTCAATAGACCTACTGCTCCCCTGAGGGCAGGGTCTGCACACAAGACCAACACAGAGACAATATACCTGTGACCTGTAGTGACCCCAAGGACGTGGAGAGGGCCATGTTTGGTCAGGTGACTATATTTCAGTGCTTAGCTGGAGCTCTACAACTTCCGGCTCGTGATAGAAGGAAACTGGTTCTTTCTTAATCTCTTCTGTCGTTTCAAGATCCAGTACAATAACATGGCAAGTGTTTTGTACATGAACTCAAGTTTTATGTCCTCAGTATCAAAAGTAGCTGATGCTATACTTTGGTAAGCGAATCTACTTCCGCAACAAACATTACAAACTCCTGACACACAAACCTTCTTACAGTACTGGCTTTAGATCGGATGCTCTTCATAAAAGAAGTGTCTGTAGCGGAAAGAGTAAACAACATACACTTGTACATCATTTCTTACTGCTTACTCAAAAGGGTGTGGACAGAAGCCGCATTTATAGTTTTAGTTCGAGTGTGAAACTTTACATAATGTATATCTTTATTGTGGCACAATCAGAAGTGACAGAGATTATCACTCCTGACCAGAAGTGACGGAGATTAGACATGTGTTGCGATAAACACAAGATTTAGGTCACTGAGTTTCTAAGAATTCCATATCTACTAACACACACAGTGCTTTACATGCCCAAGGACCTGCTTTTTTTGGTTTCTACATGCTGAGTGGGAAAGTGTATTTTGTCACAGTCGAAGGTTTACCTTTGTCTTATGTTGCATTGTGTTGTAGATTTGTAGAGTGCAGTGTGTGGGTTTTCACTAGGAGAAGCTCTTTTTCTTTGGGAAAGAGAGAGTTGTCCTAGGTGAAGTTGTGTTGTTGGTTAGAGTAAACACTTCAGCATTTTTTGCTTGTTTTTGTTTCTATTAGCATAAATTTCTTATGGCATGGGTATATGTGCAATGAAAGGAATTACGTAACAAGCCAGAAGAGCACAATAGTAAGAATTGGCCTTCCGCAATATAGACATGTTTTGCAAGTCGTGGCTGTGTATGGAGACACACATGCATTTTTTTGCGTTAATAGACTAGCTTTCAGAAAATGGGCAGTAAAAAATGGCAAGGCAACAAGGCAGAAGCACATGAACAACTTACATGTGAAGGCCAATGAACACAGTGAAACTCGTGTTGTGTGACACAGACGTGTAAACTTCAATGTATAGGTATAATTGGTCCAAATTGCACAATATAAGTGTTGTCTATTGCGTGCAACTTGTTGTATGGACCTGTTACCCTTGTAGCCTCGCAGCCTATGTGCTTTCTGCAGGTGCAACAAGGCACACACACAAGGGGGAAGGGTAAAAATAGTTCTGGTTTTTTATTTGAACAACTTTTTGTTATCGGAATATGGGCCAAGTCAGTTGTACGCATAATACTGTTATTATGAAGTAGCTCTTAGCATCAAGTCAGAACACAACAAAGTGTTCACTTTTGACAGTAAAAACTTAGGTTCTCTTTTTCTGCCTGTAAAATGCCTACCTGCTCCAGAGTAAAGTGTTTGATCACTGTTGTATCTACTCCTTAAAACCCTTAATGCTTACCAGTGTGCTCACTTTGCTGCCATCGAGGTCACAACCGCTGAAGCTATCTGTGACTGATTGGGAAACAATTCTTTCTCTTCCTAATGCCAAATACATTTTCTCTTTCTAATTGTGACAAGAACGGTTGGTTCAATTGCCAACAGCAATGGACAAAAGTTTATGCAGCAGTACTTTACTTGAGGAATAGTTAGTGCTCCATCTGTGTGAAGAGTTCAGAATACATATTAAGAAGCTAAGGGGACCGCGTCCTCTACAGAAGGTGATAGCGAAAAGCATACAACAATGCAATGCACAGGACATCGCTCATTATTATTCTGTGACATACCGGTGGAAAATACGTTGCCGGGTACATTTTTAAATAAAAATATGTTCAAATACTACTTTCCCCCTCCCCTTTCTTGCTGTGTGAACACCTCGACACATGGGCTGAAAATATTATGTAGGCACGTATGGCACGCGATGCTAACATTGAGACTTTTGCGTCACGCTACAAAATAATGGTTTCTAATAGTTGGAGGGTAAACACTTATTATTGTTGTAAACACACACTGCAGACCCTCTTCCCACTGCACTGGGATGTTTTATAGGTAACAAAGGCTGCATCTGATGGTCCTAAACTGACCCACCTGACTGCCCAACGTCCCAGAGTAAAGGGACGACGGCCTCCCAAGCGCTATGCGACTTATCATGAAGAGGATAAAGATGTCAGTCCCCCTTTGTGCTGCTGCTTTTGATTGTGTGTGAGACTATATTTGTGTTTCCCTACAGGAGTCTCCCCCAGCAACCCCAACATTTGACAGAAATACACCAGCAGCATCACCTCAACCTTCACCTTCTGCATCTCCAACCTCCAAGACTAAAGGTCACCGTCCTGCTGTTCCCCTCATGCCTAAACAACGTTCCATCACCTCATCTCCACCCCCTACCTCTAATGAGTCTCCCAAAGTTACAAAGATACTACCTACTCCACCAGCCAAAGTCGCAAAAGAAAAAGAGGAAGTTCAAGCTGACGTAGTGCCTGTTCCAAAGCAGCGTCCACTGCCTCCTAAGAGGCCCCTGAAACCACGCTCAGCTACGGATGCACCAGTAACACAGCCGAGGCCCGTGCCTGCACCTCGTAGAGTAGTAGGGAAGGAGGGAGCAATATTTCCGGCAAAGGATCTACCACCAGATGAAGATAAAGATGTAGATGTTGAGCAGGCAGAGAAGGAAAGCCCAGTTACTGAAACACCTAGCACACAAGAAACGGCACAGGAAATTAGCACCAATGAATCCCCCCTAACTGCACCGGAAGATACAACTAAACAAGAAGAAAAAGTGAACGAAATGGTAGAAAATAGGATACCTATTAATGTACATGTAATGGAAGAGAAATTGCACACAAATGACACAAAAACAACTGAAACCCCACCTACACCACAACCACAAGAGGAAAACAAAACAAGTACTGATATTTCCACAGGAGATAAGGAAGATAATAGGGCAGTGAGTGAACATAATCAAGAAAAACGCCATGTCTCGTCTGCTGATGAGTATGAACATATGAAGCCTGGTGTTACCAAAGACAAAAGCCAAGGCTCAAAAAAGTCCCCCCAATATGAACATCTTGACGTACCATGTAGCCCAAGTACATCCACACCATCGCCACAAAAGCAGGATTCGAAGTATGCAACACCTTCTGCAGCAACAAAACAGAAAGAGACTACATATGCTGTTCCCCATGTTACAGGGGACACAAATGCCAGTGTTTTACCAGCCACACCACAAATTTCTCTCGTTGCCTCAGAGAATGAGGAGAATCTAACCACTGGAAGTGGCAAAAGCTCAATACCACAACAAAGTGAAGACCATCTAAAACCAGTGAAGTTCGAAATTGAAAGGGATGCTCTTGGGGTAAGTGCTAAAATTAAAAATGATGCAGCAACTTTTATGTAAAGGCTTAAAATAATGATCCTTTTTCTACAGTATTCCAAGGGATGAAGAAGAAAAGCGATGACAAAAGAGTACCTCCAGGAAGCCCAGTCCAGTCAGATGATGAGCCACCACCTCCCCCTCTATGGACAGGGATGGACGCAGGGCTAGATAGTAATGACGTTCCGTCCACACTTCACCAGGCACGTGAGATTCTGCGTCTGGCTCAAGTCATGAAGAAGGAAATTGAAGATATGCGCAGAGAAGTACAGAGAGAACTAGAGTTAGCGCGTAGAGAACGGCAAGATGCAGAGTTGATAAAAAAGAATGCTACAGAGATATTGCGAATGGCAAAAGAAAAGCTGAACCAAAAACCACCACCTTAATCAGTATTGTATCACAATTGCAAACTCACATCATCCTTATAGTTCTCAGTGATTTTCACCCTTTTGCATAGTGTGTTATTTAAATTGTCATAATATATATGCAACCAACTTTGAACAGATGCTTTGCATTCATGGCGAGCAAGTTCAGTTTTTGCACGTATGTATTTGAACTGGTGTTTCGTTTTTTCGCCAAATTAATAAAACATGCACACATGTATACTTGGATTTTCGAGTTCCTGGTTTAAAAGAGGAACACATGATAGTCAGTATTACATGCAAACTATATACTCTACGTAGTTGCATAAAAATCACGAGGATCCATCGTGGTAAGGTTATGCGGGTTTGGAGACTCCCTATATTAAATAATAATACTTAGGTGGCTGCCATAGCACTAGGGCCATAGACCACGCACCCAGAGCAATGGGCGGAACCGTTAACAAACGAACATACACCATATGAACATAAGGTATTTGTCTCACCTCCCAGATACCTCAACTCACCCCTTCCACCAGCGATACCCTGCAGCTCCCCAGACGCAATCTGAGACTGGGTCTGTTGTACGCAGGGATTAACGCCATATAACCTAACCTTCCTTAGCTCCCAAACATCCAAAATTAAAACCTTTAGGAAGGCCAAGCAAAGAACCAAATTTATCCTCCCACAGCTCACTACCAATATAAAGGATGCTTTCCTGAAACTATCAAGCGACTGGAAATGCTCAAACCCATCATCCCCAAGCTTCTCCTGCAGGGCAACTAAGAAATTGCTCCTAAGACTACTATATTATGCTGGACACTCCTACAACACATGACTCACACTTTCACACTCATCATCACACAACAGGCACTCCTTCATATATACCCTCCCGCTATGCCTACCCAGTTCCTCATTTAGCCCATGCGTGCCTGACCTGAACTTAAACATTAATCTAGACCCAGCATCACTTTTCCCATGCAAGTACTTTTTGAACTCTACCACCTTGTTAATGTCATATACAACAACAGCTTCACTCTGCTATTTAGCCCCTCTTCAAACCCTACATTAAATATTCAACACTAAAGAAAAATAGACACAAAGCAAAAGAAATGATGTTTAATATATTATAGAAAGAAGAGCATGGGGAAATGGGTGAAAATTAATTAGTCATCTCGTGGTGGTTCTAGTTCTCCCCTGGCAGCCTTGATCTCATCAGGATGTACCAGTGACGGGTCTTTTGCGCAGTATCTCGTTCCTTGGAAAGTCATTAGATGAATCTGGACAGAAGAGGGCAAAGTACTGATATGAATGTGTGCCCCTGGACATTACTAACACATTTTTGTTTAGCGAAGTGAGCAGTTCAATATTTAGCGCATGTAGAATCACATAGGCCATTATGGTATGTGCAAAGCCTGTCACATTCCTGTACTGAAACCACTAGGAGGTACGCTCTTAGAACACGGTTGTAGTTGACTTGTTTGCTGTGCCTTTGCCTTTCTACCTTGTAGTTTACACATGAATGCAAGTCATTAACCCTCACCTGCGCGCATGCGCAGCGAGGGTTATTGCAGTCGGTCTGTGTGTGTGTGCGTCTGTCCGTCCATCTGTCCACCATTTTTCTCGGTAACCGCGGCAACTCTGAGCGTGAAACGTGGACATATTATCAAGTAGGAGGCAGAAGCGCAAAATGGAAGCGCAAAAGGAAAGAGAATTTAAAAAGTGGAAGTAAAAAAATGGAACATGGAAACAAGAAATGGACATTAGAAGGATGGCACTTGTCGGCCACCGTACTTATACTGACACATTTCCTTTAACTTCTACACGGCCAGTTCAAAACAATGGTCATAGCACACTACAGGTTACAATGAGAAAAGCACTAAAGTTCAAACCCTCTGTGCAAAAGAAATGCGAGTGTGCGGACGTATACAAATGCTAATTGATGGGCTGGGCCATTTTACCGTTTTACTGTCTCGTGGTCTCTGTGCACAGTCTGCTTTAGTTACTGAACTGGAGTACTATAGCATTTTCATTTTCTAGAGTAATGCAACGCTAAATTGCAAACCCTACCAGCAATGTAAACTACGCACTAGCAGCTGCTGGACAATGTTAGTTTCTCACTCTAACACAGGTTGTAAGCAGCAACACTGGATTAGCTTCGAGTAAATTCGTGCTCCCTACGATGTGTGAAATGGACAAACACGAAACAGTGGTTTCCGGAAAATTCATGGTATCGCTCCTTGTAGCCTGTAGTGGCACTAACAGACATGCACACAAACGAAGCACTGTAACTCTCGCTTCACAGGCTCACCAGAGGTCAGTTACTTTCTGCATAAGATTTTGTTTCTCTATACACTGAGCAATAAGAACAAGGAATTTTTATTCTCTTATGTACCTGAATCATGAGATTTACTTCACCACTCCGAGACAGGTAAGGGAAGTTGCCACCAGATTTGAGATGTGCCCTCTTAGCATTGGGGTAACACTTGTACATCTCTTCTTTGCATCTTTGTGACAAAGCTGACTCATCAAACACCTTGTAAACAGAACAAACCACAAAGTGGTGCATTGTTGAGTGCAAAAATCACAGGGTGTTAACGTACAACACTGCTTTCTAGACAGAGTCCTCTACCACCTGACCTGAGCTACCAGGGCTATCCAGCTACCCGTTCTCTCTTCTTCTCACACTGCATGTTACTCAACCCTCTTTAACCTGTGATGCCCCCATTAATTACTGACAGAATCCAGCTCATTAGCTTATTGCCTTGGTTTTGTCGTCCCTTTGAATGCAGTACTTTTATTATTAAAATCTGTATTTTTTTATTAAAAGCTAGCGTAGCAGTTTACCTGCATTACAGCGGTGCAAAAGGAAAATGCAAGGGATGATATCGTTTATGTGCACAGTAAATGAGAATTGAACAGCCTAGGCCTATGTAAGAAAGAGAAGTTCACAGTCATCTTAATTACTGCATATACTGTACATGCAATTCTTAGTAACTGAGGTATATGTAGACTCTGTAAGAAAGTCCCGATGGTATATTACTGCTCATAATAGGAATGTTTTACACTTCCGCTAAGGTTATGGACTGTAGTTGTGGCATGGTGTGAGTAAATGCAACTTACATCAATGATTGTCACATATATGTCCTTGAGTTTCTGTGGCTCCACATAGTTATCAGAGCAATTGAGAGTAAGGCGTGCAGCTAATTGACTGCGCTCCAGAGTATCCAGCTGCAGTAATTAACACAAATGTTACCACAAAAACATACATCAAAAATCAAAAACTTCAAACTGGACAGAGTTTGAGCTGACCTGCAACTGCTTAAGACCCAATTTATTCTTGCACTCTCGTGAACTCAGGATCTAATGGCTATCGTTAAACCAATGAGAATTGCTTTACTGGGTTTATACTGTATGTGCCCTAGACCATTTGTTACTCTTTTATGGGCATCTTTGGTGTGGTTTAATTACCCTGTATAGCTTCTTAATACTGAGTGAGAGTATACTGCGCCATAGTACAGTGGTTTGAGGTTTGCCTCTGTTTTGTGTTGTGTTGTAGATTCGAACCCCTGCAAGCTGAGTTGCCCTGGTACGTAGCTCAGTTGATAGAGCAGCCGCCTGGAAAGCAGTGTTGAGGGTTTGTATCCAACGGGCAGCTTTTCTATTTTCCTTAGAAAAAAGGAGTTGTCCTGGGTGTAGTACTTTGCCTTTGCCTTGCTACCTTGTTGTCACATGCTAAAACACCCAACATAGCAGGCAAAAAGCAAAAAGCATTTTGAAACTGCTAATTGTCAAGTACTGAGTTCACGTGAGAAGAAGTGAGCAAGCCAATATGCTAATTTGCACCGGCATACCATCCACAACATGGAGGGCTCAGATGGTTTCACGAAGTGCAAGTGTATTGCTATATACGCTCCTTACTGAGATGTAGCTAGCCAATGAGAGAGTGTGAGAACAGGTAGCTGGTACTTCTGTGCATGCGTGGTTTACAATATGCAATTAATTCGTGCGCACACACGTGTATACTCACACACTGCACCAAGTGTAACACTTGAGGAATTAATTCTGGGAAACAATGACTTTAACCTCACTTCAGAGAGATAATAAATTTGCTTACCCTTTCCACCATAAAGTCGATTGAGTTTGCTACCTCAGATTCCAGCTTCTCACTCGGCAAATTCATCAGAATTTGGCGCTTTAGTAGAAAGGCTGGCATAGCCCACAACCTAAATAGAGAACATATCTACATTGTCACTTCAGTACACATAATGAAACCAAGTACAAAAACCTAAGCCCTAATAAAACTGCAGAGAGTAAAATGTATGTGTACGGCCAGCCTCCAGCTGGCCAGTATATAATTATAGAGCAGATTTCTCATGGAACGTTAGATGTTCAACATTGGACTTTTGTAGCAGAAGCCTCAAAGGATACTGGCTAGTTCCTTGGAGTAAAGAAACTCACAATTCCCCACATTAAAGTGATTTAGTTTGTATTACATGTTGTGCATGTTGCAAGGCTGGTTGCAGTGGCATGCACATGGCAGGTGGACAGACACTTTGCAGGGTTTAGGCAGGGCATTTAAAGTAGCACTTGTTTTAATTGCACAAAAGTGCTCCCCTGGGTGCCTTTGTGAAAATAAAAAAGGCTGCTAAATTGCAATGTCTGACAGGTGTACACGGCCTAAACAGAGGACCTGGTTAGGTGTCTAGTTGTTTTTGCGTAAGAGGGAATGCTGAACACATCCCAAGGTACTAAGTAATGTTTATGCCTGTTACTACAAGTGCATGGATTGGACCACTACATAGGGTAGCACTCATGGATTGCTCAGGAGATGTGTCCAAAAGCAGGCATAAACTCGACTCAGCAGCTTTCAAACAGCTTCCTTGGGAAATGGGTGACAGTTATACTTATATTCCCCATCCAAATATAATGTGATCCTCGAAAAAGGCAAGAGCTTGATAAAGTGGCAAGGGTTTTACCATAGTAGACTTATCATGACTACCACTGGTGCAATAGACAGAAGACTACTTCTGCAGTTAACCACAAACTCTAAGAGCAACAATGAGAGAAGAACAAAACAACACAAGTCCTCACTTGGAGGAGTTTATAACATGCCTACACACATAACTATGCAATGACTGTGGGATGAAGCTCTTTATGAAGAGAAGATGAATTTGAAAAACAAACCACCATTCTACACATGTACATCCAAATAGCAATTGAGTCACTTTGAGTACTGGGACAGTAAAATAATGACATCAGGCACAATCAGAGGTCGATTTCCCAAAAATCTGTGCATGCTAGGATCAGTGTTGTGTGAATATTTGGTTTTGCTAGTTTGTAGGATGTCCAGTAGCAGATCTTCAAGCTTCCACCATGCTAGCACACAGGCATTAACTGCTACAATTTGGATTCAGAGCTGAGCATACACAAAACAATCGTAGCCCTCTAGCCCAGGTCGCAGATTCTACAGGACTGCCTTTAATGACAAGTAAAGCGAGTGGGTGCCACTATCTATACCTTTAATCTTATGGATAATTATAAACATATTCCGCACTCCATTCACTTACCAATGCAGTATTTATCATTCCATCATGTACTTCCTATGGTGAAGTTTTGTGTGTAACCTTAGCGGTGATGAAATGCTGCTGACCATGGCACCTGCCAAGAAACCTTGTGTCTGGCTAATGCACAGGCACATACTGGACTTTGATGGGTATGTCACTTGTTCCAGGTGCAGTTTTGCTTTGCCTTCAGCTCATTGATGACACTTTACAGCAGGGTTACTTACGCTTTGGCACTCTTGGTTTGTTTGAAAGCTGTTGTGTCGACAAAGCCATTGCAGAGAAGCAAGGAGTGTACCCGTGGACTCTTGAATGTCTGCTCAGCCACCTTTTGGGCTAGAAATGCACCGAGGGAGGCTCCAAAGATGTGAACCTACACATGAATTACATTACACAGTGAAAAACAGACACTAAAATGCAGAGAAGTACACTTGTTGTATAGCAATTACGTATTGTACACCTTATCAAGTTCCAGGTGGTCTATGAGTTTTAGAAACCCATCACAGAACTCTTCAACAGACCAGAACACCGGATATTCCACCTACATGGAAGTGTACATACTTTGCTTTGTAACCTTATAGTGTTAGGTAAATCTTTGAGATTGCATGTAATCAGTTTAATGCACATCCCCAAGCTCCATGATTTGCAGGTCCTTCTATACCAACATGACACCTGGAGTACAGATACATAACCTGTAGTGAGGTAGTGTGAATGACAATTTACAGAAATGACTCTGTATCCAGCTTGAGAGAGTGCTAAGAGTTGCTTGAAGAAGACATCTGCTGTGCCACACACAGGGGGCAAACAAACCAAGGGACTGTGTACATGTCTTGGCCCAGCATCATACACCACCCACGGCTGATTACTTTTATCCACCACGATCTGCAAAGAAACAAAGACACATATGCTCGAGGAGCACGTTATAAGTGATTGATTGTTCCACCTTCCTCTGTGGAATACTACTCCGAAACCTTTTGTAGCCTTCAGAGGCAGTAATGGGGTCTTGATCACCCATTGTGAGTCACAGAGAAAGCCTCATTCGATCACACTTCTGCAGTTTCCACCAACAAGCACTCCGTACACTGTCGCTAGAGTCGCTGGGGCGTCCCTTTTCTTGCGGCAGTTCTGGCTCCCTGTCTAGTCTGCGCCGCCTCCTGTCTGTAAGCGCTCTATATTAGCGCAGTTACACGTGACAGTCACATGCCAGTCGCCAGGAAGAGGTATTATACGTGTACTCAAAAAATGGCGTCGGCGTTGACGAGGCGCAGTTGGGGTGGAGCTGCTAGGACCCGCGTCTTCCTACTATCAAGGTGTTCTTCAATGGATACTAAATCAGTGGTGACCACCCCAAAGGATGAGAATAAGAGTGTGGAAGAAGTGAAACCCACGGATTTGGTAAGCTCCTCTCGCCATTGTTCGGTTGTACTGAGAGTTGTCCATAAACGAGGCGGCCTTTGTCAGGCTACCAAGAGTATTTACACACCTGGCTACCTTTTCAGACATCTGTCAGCACCCTGAGTGGGATTCCTGAAAAGCAACTGAACAGGATAGCAAGAATATATGTTCCGGCAAAGAACGCTATGCAGTCGGGTAACTGGAACACCAGGGAGTGGAGATTGGAGTTTGACACTCAGGAGAGATGGGAGAACCCACTAATAGGCTGGACCTCAAGGTTCTTCCAGTGATGTAAATGTAGGGGTAGGGAACTCATTATAAAGTAGACACTTATGGTAGAGTCATGATTCAGCAAGTGCATATCACCTAAAAAGGAAAAACAGCTCTCCTTGGTGGGACTCGAACCCACGACACTGCAGTCTAGGCAGAGTGTTCTACCAACTGAGCTACCAGGGCAGCGAAGAGCAGCAATTGAAAGAAGAGCGTGTGTATGTTATACTAGCATAGATAATAAAGTGGAGGAACGGGATTGGAAACGGCTCACATGCACCCTTAGAGCTATGTACATGCTGCATTGCGCGTGCGGAAATACTCCGCGTTGGGATTTTTGACACGTTTTTGTCGCAAAACGGGCCGCGTAGATGAACAACTGGAGAGTGCCGCTAGTGACTAGTTTGGAGTGCACAGCCGTCATTCTCTGCATTCATCAGCCTATTTGCCCACTATAGGTTCGTCAGAGGTCTAATGTAACACAGCTGCGCCTTTTTTAAGCTGCACCTTTTTTAAGCTTTCTGTATGGTTTTTGTCCGCCTGGTGTGATGATGCTCTTTTCTCAGCTCCTAGTAGGAAAAGGGGGTGAGAAATAGCTGTAGAAGTACATAACAGCTTCAAATTCTTAACAGGCTGAAGTTTAGCATGGTGCTTAGATTACTGACCCTTCTGTCACTGTAATGCGGTTTTGCACATGCAGTCTGTGGGATTTAGCCTTAAGAGGTTGTAGATTTGTCAGCCCAAATCTCTTCCATCACACTCCCTACAATTCAGCACTATGATACTATCTGCTCTCAGAAAGCTCGTGTTTTGCATGGTTTTTTGTTATAGAGTCATCAGAGCTTACGTTGGTTTATCTATGTGGATATGTATCGCCGGTGCACGGTCTGGCACTAGTATGTAGTATGGTAGTGGTGTGTAATTAACCCTCGGCGCGCATGCGCAGCGAGGGTTACTGTAGTTGGTTTGTCTGTGTGTGTGTGTGTGTGTCGCCGCTTATTCTGGCACTACAGGCTACGAGGCGGCCCATTAGTGATACCAACGGCTTCAGAACTACCCGAGCTTGAAAATTAAAAGGGTGCTTTTCCTGAAACGACTGCGTTCGAGAGCGACAAACTGGCAAGGTCGCGGACCGCGTTGCGTGGCCCAACCCATCATTAAGCGGTGCGCATGCGTCGCGATCAACGTGGTTTGCTGTCTAACCTCGACCTGATGCGCTTGCTCTGTGTATATACCTTGGAGGCACAAGAAGCCACAGAGAGGGGCGTGTGTCGACTCCTGCATGCTATCTACTACCATAGCTAGCCCGTGTCAGACTCTCCACGAGCTACTAGCGGGAGACCGCGGGTAAACGCCAATAGCCCGGCCCATCCATTAGCAGTACCACGCATGCGCAGTTCGCCAAGGGTTTGCACTTTAGTGCTTTTCATTAGAAATTGACATGTCATTTCCTGTTTACCCAGACTTGTTACCTTGGCAAAGATGCCAACGAGAGAGCGAAAAAAGAGAAGAAAGATGCGAAATTCTCGATACTACAAACGCACCCATCCTATAGAAAACCGTATCTAAATTTTGTCCCACTAACTACAAAATTCTGCTTACTGCGAACAAATGTGTTTGAGCAAGACTCCACTTTAGTTATGTTCTGCAGTCTACATAAATATCTTGTAGCTCTCCCCTTTCACTAGTTTTATAAAATCGTAGCGAGTAAATATCCTTCAGCTCTTGGAAATCATGTCCATTGGTATGATCTCTTTTCTAAGTATAATTATACATAAGCTGTGCAATGTTAGGTGTGTGGGCTATAGCTTGGGACACCCTTTCCAAGATAGAATAGTGCAAATTTTCTAATTATTCTCATCCACAGTGCGGATCCCCTCTCCAATATCAGTGGCATGCTGACATTTGACACTAGTGAAGAAGCCATTGCATTCGCTGTCAAAAACGGTACGTTGTCATTGTAGTGTACACCAACCATGGTTGCTCACGAGTACACATACACATTAGTGTAATGTTGTTTGCATGTACAATTTGGCCAGGTGTTGCAGTGGTGGTTCTTACCCATTAGGTTGGAGATATAGTGTGGAAGAGGCAAATAAACAGAAGCCGGTATCAAAGTCTTATGGAGCTAACTTTTCTTGGGACAAGAAGACTCGAGTGGGGTCTAAATGACTACAAGCTTAGCTTCTCTATGTATATGTATGTGTTAGTCATGTTTTGTTCAGTATCTTGTATCTATATCAAGCCGCAATTGTTAACTCGATTCGGTGCACAGTTAGAGTGCTTTACTACTCCTATATACATACATTGACGAATGTGCAACCTCACTTGGAGTGAACAGCTCTTAATACAAACTTGGCTACTGTACACAAAAGCGCACTAGAGCAAAATTGGAAGAAGTATGTGTTGCCCCTTATGTCACACAAGTGCAGACAATGCTCAGAACTGGGTGATACATAACATATTGTGTAAAAAAATCTTGGTATATATATACTCATGCATGACAATCAGAATGAAAGCAAAACAGCATTTGTGAAATTTGTGAAATAAGTGTTCCGGGACAAACAGTAGAGGTTTTGTGGCATTGAATTAGTAATCGGCTGCAGATTCCGCCAAGAAATCTCTTCTTGATATGTTACTGGCTTTCTTTTGTTGCACACTTTCCAGCTTAGGACACTCGGTAATCCTATGTCCAAGGCCACCACAGTATGAGCACCCTTTTTCATCTGCACAGAAGAATCAGATTTCTCTAGAAAACCATACATACATATGTTAGAAATGAGAGGGTACAAGTAAATAAAAAATCCTGCGGATTAAAAAAAGAGTGCATATAGGGATCGTATAAAAAGAAAGGGAGACAAGATAGGGATTGTGTTTGTGGAAGCACAGAGATGCTAGCGAGGAGTTAGGGACTCCCCCGGTCATTACAAACAGCCCTATATCGTCGTATCGTTGCTTGACCGCAGAGGAAAACCTCCTCGCATAAGTATCAGCAACCCTGCCTACTTGAATTTGGTTTTGTGGTATTATACGTATGCTTTCCATGTAATGATGTCATGCATGTATATACATTGTTTTGGTCAGCTGATTACACACAGTACACGTAACTGCTCGCACCTTGATGTACATATACACGTAGTGGGATTGTAGCAAGACAGATGAATGAAATGTAAACAATGATCATTATTGAGTAGTACATTACTTAGCAATTTATAACCTTCACTCCCACCGTACGACGATATAGGGCTGTTGTAATGACCTGTGGGAGTCCTAACTCCTCGCTAGCATCTCTGTGCTTCCACAAACACAATCCCTATCTTGTCTCCCTTTCTTTTTATACGATCCCTATATGCACTCTTTTTTTAATCCGCAGGATTTTTTATTTACTTGTCTCCACTCATTTTTATATACTACTACGTATTATCTCTGTGGAAGGGGGCAAGCCCCTATAAAAATTAATAATAGAGAAAAAATTGTCGTCATGGAAATGAAATGCATACCATCCATGTGTGCTGCCGTTAGCAAGTTTGACGAGTTTATAAAGAAAAGTGCCTGAGGCTATTTGTTGTTGTGGTCGTCATGGAAACGATGTAATACACATGCGCACCAAGTTTCACCTCCATGCGTGCTATAGTTAGCAAGTTTGAGGATGTGAAGAAGTAATTTTAAAGAAAAGTGCCTGAGGCTATTTGTTGTTGTGGTCGTCATGGAAACGATGTAATACACATGCGCACCAAGTTTCACCTCCATGCGTGCTACAGTTAGCAAGTTTGAGGAGTGAAGAAGTAATTTAAAGAAAAGTGCCTGAGGCCTTTTGTTGCTATGTGGTCGTCATGGGAAACGATGTAATACATCATGCGCACCAAGTTTCATCTCCATGCGTGCTACTAGTTGAAGTTTGAGAAGTGAAGAAGTAATTTAAAGAAAAGTGCCTGAGGCTATTTGTTGTTGTTACAAACATGTATTGTTGGGATTTTGATGTTGGCTATTGAATACATTGTGTATACAAACTTTCGCTCGCATAACTCTTACCAATTGTGAGTTACACTGACACATGTAGTATGCCCATTATAACGTATTGCCCATTATAATGTATTGCCTGGGGCAATGTTGTTGTTGTTTACAGTAAACAACATTGTTTACAAACAAAAAAGTATGACGTTGCACATGTGGTTATCGATATGTACATTCCTACAAAATTTCATGGCTTTATCTCTTTCGGTTTTTGAGTTACGCTGGTTGAAGAAGAAGAAGAAGAAGAAGATGAACAAAACTCCCTATCATAGCCCCATACATCTATGATGCTAGGTACCATGTCAATCCCTATATACTAAGTACTACCGTACTTAGTGATATAGCTGAACAGGCACACAAACCATCACTGTGCATAATCAGCCACAAGGTACCAAACAGCTAACGACCAACTATGTAGACCCAGGACAACCCTCATTATTCCGTGCATGCTATATAATTATAATTTTATATTATATAGGTAGGTGAGCCTCACTGCTGCACAATATGGCAAATTATGTATGGTTCGTTGAGCCTGTATACACCCCCCAAATTTGCCACTATCCCCCATTACTAGAGGAATGCAACGCATTGTTGGCGAGCGAAGCAAGCATGTGGCACACCAAACGTAACACCAAACTTCTAGTGCGTCCTAGGCTCAAAAAAGAGCGTTCTAGAAACAGGATGGCCTTATACCAGAACCACAATCCGCTTTCCAGACTGCACATGAGCAGATATTGCACTTGTCAGAGGTAGAAGATAGGATTGATGTGAAGTGAATGGATTGTAATTTAGCATCTGTGCAACGCAATTTGAGCGACTACAAGGTTAATTTTCTTCTACACTGATTTGCGTACAGCCTAATTAGCTATACACTTACATGTTTATGAAGATGCAGTAGTAGTTAAGTAGCTAACGATTTGGGTCTTTACTGTAGTGTCTCTCACAAAGGACTGGCGAATCATACGCAAGCACAGGAGCACGTACTGTGGAAGTAAAAGGGCGCTGAGCGAGTTCTGTTTTGCCGGTTGCTAGCTGCCTCCCTTCATGCTCATGCGCAGTTTAGAAACGTATCGTTTTAGGAGTTTTGTAGTCAGTATGATATACGACGAGTTTTCTAGAGCCCAATAGAAGTTCTAGGCCCATCCAGAGTACAAGTCTTTCTATAGCATAGAGCGGTGTAGACACGCTCTAGCATTTTTGTTACTTTTGGCGTGTCATACGAGCAGTTTTAATATTTCGTGCGTGTTTTTGCAATCACGTATATATTACAGTATGTGTTTCGGTCGCCATATATTATTCCAACGACTTGGTATAGAACCAGAACCTGGACTGCACCACTGGAATGGACTATAACCAAGGCAGAATAACTGCAAGCAAAACCCTGCATGCGGTCACAACTGTTGGTGGAAAGGAGGTAGGGACAGTGATACGTTACAACACCCACGACCATTTGTCCAGTGTGCAAAGGCTAACATGCAAAAGGTTTAAACTTCTTAAAATTTGGTAGGATTGTGTGATGTATTATTGGCGAGCGGGAGCGAGCTAACCTAGTGGTACGAACGGCGCAGATTTCTTTATTTATCTACGACCGTACGTCGTCCACGCGCTTCTTTTTATCCGAAAAACATTTCAAATTTTTACACCGTATATATACATTTCTCAAGCCAACCACACTTTCTGCGATGGATGGGTCTAGAGAAGATGCCCTTCATCGTCGACGAGAAAGGGAAAGAGAACGTCGTGCCAGTGAGACTTCTGAGCAAAGAGAGGCTCGTCTTTCTCGACGGCGACTGCGTGATAGGGAACGGGCAAGGCAACGCCTTGGCCACGGAAACAGCGGAAGAAAGGGAAGCACGACTAGCGAGAAGCCGTGTACGAGCAAGAGCTACACGTGCTGCAGAATCAGAGGAAACGCAACAGGCCAGGCTCCAACAGATCCGAAGCTATCAGACAAGGCGAATTGCCGTCGAGACAGTCATTCATTGTGTGCTCGCTCCCGCTCGCCAAAAATGCCATGCATTCGCCTACTAGTATATACAGTACGTGTTCTCTACAAGAGGAACACGTGTAATGTCAGCACATAAGTGCTGGCACGGAGAGCCTTCTTTACCGGGTTACCTAGGATTAATTATGGTTAGGGTAGAGTTGTTAGGGAGAATACTACACTTCCTATTCATAGTTGCACAAAATATACATAATTTACTGGTGTTTTAGCCTTCTAGCTACCTAGGATATGACAGCATTATTGGACTACTACCGCTACAGCAAAGTAAATGCTTCTTTGCTGTAGCTTCCAATAGTCCAGGTCAACACTTTTTGCCAGGAACTTTTGTAACCTCTTGCCAGTGTTGTCATCCCTACCCTGTCAAAGTTTTTATACCAGGAATCAAGTACTGTGTGGTCCTTAAACCTTGGACGTTAGTTAAAGTTATACTCCAAAAGTGCAGAAGGTTTTATTTGGCTTGCCCAACCACTTAATACACACTTGCAACAATCTATACTAACCCCCAAGGTCAAGGAGATCTTCACTGAGAGCATCCAACTGATGGAGAAAAGGAGGTACTTTCTGGTTGCCTTCAATCAGTAGAGCCTTTAGATCTCGTAGCACTGATTCCTCTGTAGGAACAAAAGTGGATTGAAATACAGTAGTTTTGTTGTAACATCTCACCACAGAGTTTGTTTACAAAGGTTGTAGCAATTCCAGTTTTTCCGCACCTACCCGTTCTGCCAATGCGATGAACTACATAGGATAACAACAAGGTTACAGCAAGTTCTGACAACATTGAGATACAGACCATAATTCTCAATATCAGCAGGCATATCATAGTTGATGACATGCTGAATATTGGGAAAATCAAGTCCTTTCCCTGCTATATCAGTTGCCACAAGAACATCTTTCCTCTGACTCTTGAACTCTTTGATAGCCCACTGTCTCTCTTCTTGGTCTGTAAAGAGGATAAGATGAGTAATCTTTAGCTCAGAATGTTGATAAAAACTGCCATGTTGTTTGTTTGCTTTGCTCGCTACTAACCCTTGCTGAACGTGCATGCCAAGGATTCCTCTGTGCGTGTGGGTTGGTCTGGTCGACGGTAATGTTATGATGTACAAGGGGGCTTCATGTCGTAGAAAGAGCACTTGCATCAAAACGTTAAATTTCGTTTCAATCTTCGCTGGACAGACATACGTACACTTACCCTTTCCCCCATGTATACTGACAGCCTCTACACCTTTCAGCAACAGATATTCGTGAATATCATCAACCTCAGCTTTCTTTTCTGAAAATATCAGCACCTGCAAATTTTCAGGAAAATTATAGATCCTTATAACGCAATGCAGTATGAATATGGATGAGAATGATTGCATAATCTTTCATCCGACTCAAGGTAACATTTACAGAGATTGTGTTGGGAGGTGGGATGTCTGACACCATCTAAACCATGTGCCTCATAAACCCTTGCCTTTCTTTCTTCTTATGCTATAAAAGCTATCACTGAACATTCACAGTATGTGCCCTATATTACTTCTCTTTTAGGACCATGGGAACTAACTGTACATAGACGTGCATTACTTCATAGTACGTAGGTGCTTTGTGCAAACAGTGAGTGGCTAAATTATATGGAGAGGTTAAAGAGAACGAGTCACTCACTGGAGGAGCAGTTTTCTGAAGACACTCAAGCAAATAGACAATCTTAGCTTCCTGCTTCACATACTCGACCTCTTGTATCACATCAAGACTAGCAGCACCAGCACGTCCAACATTGACTATCACTTTAGAAACCATAATACACGTGAAATAACACTTACAAAATTACGGAATGACAGTTATATTATTATTACCTGGTTGCACTAAAGCAGACTTAGCAAAGTTTTGAATCTTTTTTGGCATAGTAGCACTAAAAAGAAGTGTCTGTCTCTGAGACTGCAATGTTATGAGGAGATTGTACATATGTAAAAGAGTTGGGACGCTTTTGCTGAGTTTATCAAGTGAAATATGTCTGAACCTTGAAAAAGGAGAAAATGGTCCTGATGTCATCTTCAAAGCCAAGGTCAATCATGCGGTCTGCCTCATCCAGCACCAGGTAACGACATACCTCAAGGTTCATTATTCGCTTCTCTAGTAGGTCCATCAAGCGACCAGGTGTAGCCACGACGATATGTAGGCCACTGTTAGTAGATGGGCAGATAGGTAATACTTTACCCTGACTTCCTTACCGTTTCAAGACTTCCACCTGGCCTCTTACAGCTGTCCCTCCAATACAAAGCAAAGACTTGAGACGAGGGAATCCTACATATTTCATGCGAAACAATGTGACTTGACTATTATAATATAGACGGCAACCACCTTGCAGCAGGTATTGGAGAGCTTAACCAAAACTCTAGCATCTAATAAGCACACCAGATATTGCAGAAATGTACACGTGAATGTTAATGTATAAACATGTACCTTCATGTGCAAGCTCTTCTGAGAGATAGCAGACTAGTTCATGGGTTTGAGTAGCTAACTCCCTCTGGAACACGAGTATAAAAAAATTACAAGGGACACAAAGCCCATAATGCGTCTTTGATGACTTACACTAGGGCAGACCATGAGACCATAGGGGCCTTCACCCTGGCCAAACGGCAGCTTCTTCTCTTGTTCGAGACAGAACATGACAAGAGGTAAAGCAAACACTAGAGTCTTGCCGGACCCAGTGAAGGCAATGCCAATCATATCTCGACCACTGAGGCTGTTAAAAGGTAATGTTCAATTTGTGGTAAGTAGTAACAAGATTGGATTAGAGTTTACTCTAGTTGAATGTTAAATTCAGGTGTATACATGTTCCACAAGAGACTGTGCAAAATGACAGTAAGAGAGCTACAGAACATTACACAGTCAACAGGAGCAACCATGGTAGTTGGGAGGTAAGACGGACACCAGTATTAAAGCATATACTCAATTGCTCTGGGAGCGTGGTCTAGGGCTATGGCTGCCACCTGAGTATTATTAACCCTCAGCACAGGTGTGCAGTTAAGCAGTGTTTTGTTATTAACCCTGGGCATAAATTGTCTGTTCACAGTTCGCCGAGGGTTTGCACTTTAGTGCTTTTCAGTACTGACCCGTGGTTGTTGTCTACTAATACATACATGTGTTTTACTACTAGGGCGCCGGCTGCCGAGGGTTTTGCACTTCAGTGTTTTGAATACTTATTGTGGAATGATGCACTGCAAAAGAAATGGCTTGCTTCCACTTGCATCACACTTACACGACCGGCAATCCTTGAATCTGGATTGGAGTTGGATGAATTATGCCCTTCTTCTTGAGGGAATTTACTACAACTTTAGGAAACTTCATCTCCTGTATATATCATGGGCAATCATTCAGGATAATGCATTTATGATTCTGAATCTCTTGCCAGAATGAAACGAACCTTAAAAGATTTGATTGGTGGTGGGATATTATCTCCTTCGACCAAAATATGCCATTTCTTTCTAATTCGGTTATTTTTACTCTCTGGGGCCTCAAGAATATACCTTGGTGGATTCCATCTATGTGGATCACGCATAAAGTACATAATCATACAAACGCACAATGACAACATCGTACTAACCCAGTGACAAGTGGCTCAGTGTAAACCACACCCTTTGCAAGCTCTGCAACACTCATCAGAGCCGATGCCTCTTTTATATCGTGCAATATTTTTGCTTCTTCTTCCTTTTGTTTGTCTAACTCGGAAACTTTGTGAGCTGCATAAAAAAGACCATCAATGAGCTAGTGTTGTTATTATGCAACATGTACCTTCAGCTTTCTTTTTCAGCTCTGAATGCTGATCTAGGAGACTGACTTTCGACCGTGGTCCAATAGCGTCATCTTCACTCTAATACGATTGTGTAAGGAAAGGCACTTAAAGGGCATACCCTTGGAGCATTAGAAATTCTCATGTGCATGGAATTACCATACGCGCAGTATTTCCAATTAATGGGCTGCTTGTTGTTTCCCTGCTAGATTGGCAAGACACGAGCTAGCCACACTTGATAGCATTTAGAAATAGCAGGACACGATGGTCGCCTCTTCAATGAGTTATAATAGGCTTGCTCGCATCGTACCATGGTAGTGTATGCCACTGCGTATGATGGCAAAGATCATTCTCTTTCGGCAGTCGCATGAATACAATACAACTCCATATGAATTCTTTCGGATTTATGGCGGCTCATGCACATTTCTGTGTCAGCGAATAATGGGCCTCGGTGTCACAAAGCTATCACGTTCTGCAAACCAGTCACAGACCCCTCACAAGTAAACAGCTAAAAATATTGGCCAAGAAAGACTACTAGACACATGGCCAGCTCTTTTTCACATATTGCATGGGGGCGGGCTTGTTACGGGGCTTTCCCTGCCTTTTTGGGCCATGGAAAAGCCTCTTATGTGAAAAAATATAAAGAAGGCCTGGAAATGGAGGTGGCGTAATAATTATACACAGACACACATGACACAAGTATAGTCCTAATTGCCCTTGTTGAAGGCTAATGAGTAAGAGCATAATCAGGCAAACAATTGAAGGGTAAATACCTACCCCAATGTCTTTATTTTCCTCTGCAACTATGTCAGCTGGTCTGTGCCGTTTACGATACTTCTCAAACTGTACACAGATTCGTAATACAGACATCATGACAAAGACAAACTTGCCGAATCCAAATCAGTATCAGGAGTATCAGCTCAAACTAATGCATGCAGACATGGATAAGCTTTAGTCTGGCGCAGCTACATCATGGCTATGGTTTCTCCACACTCAGGTATGTTTGCAAGTGAGCGAGATGTTGCTAGGACTTTCTCCACACTCAATGCTAGACTAGACCTTGGTGGATGGTGGACATCATTTAGAACAAAAATGCACGTGAAAATGATGTACTTCAGCTTTCTTTCTCTCCTTTACTGGAACGTACGGAATGTAATCTCCATCACCACCTTTAGCTTCAGGGCTAGAGTGATTGCGCTGCATGTTAGTTAAAACAACCAGGCATCTTCAAGAACCACTGGTGGATATTATAGAGTATACCTGCATGTCGAATTGCTGCCAGGGATCATCTGCTGGTAGATAAGATTCTAACGCGAGCTGAGAGCGGACAAAGAAAGCACAAAGTTCAAAGTGAGCTCTTGCGCATGCGCACGTCGGACACTAAACCCACTCTCTTTCCACACCTATATACCTTCATATTATGTCGGGTGGTGGTGAAGTCGTTGGAGGAGATTCCTCTGTGCTTACTGGTCTTTCCAGCCAATTCCGTGAACGAGCGGACCGTGTGTTTGGCACTTTACCTAAACCTCCGTGTGTAAGGCGGGATCAGCTAGCTCCAGCTGAAGAAAGCTCGTCTTCTGCCTACGTCGGAGAATTAAAGTACAGAGGCCGGGTTCATCGTGTGTACTTCAAAACTCCTGCCAGGGCGAAACATGGGACTAGGTATACACCTGACTATATGAAGCATCCTGAGAGGTGGACCAAGTATGACTTGAAAGAGGACGGAACGGAAAGTATGAAGAATGTGTCTGCTGATCAAGTGAATAAAGTTGCTGCTTTTCAATTCCTCCAAAAGAGAAGAGGTTCGTTTGAATCTGAAACTACACTTCTGACAGAAGAAAAACTTACGTTTAAAAAACCAAAAAACAAGAAATTGGTTACTCCAATTTTGACCAAAAGTACAAGATCAAGTGCTGGCAATGCTCATGTCATGCCAGAGTATGAAGTCGGGGAGAAGAGAGAGTACAACAAAAAAGTTCATTCTGGTCAGACTTCATCATGTCCCTCGGTTAAGCTTAGTCACCTTGAGGAAGACGATTAAACGGACAATGCCATTTTTACAGCTACCTAATGAAAGCATGGATACAGTTTACAGTCCGAAGAGAGATAGGACAACAATTTGTATAATCACTAAGTATAGTAGTATATAGGGATTACACAGGTTATCCAGCATAATTTGAGATTTGCATGAAAAGCGTGTTTAAGCAATAGAGAATATAAGTCGCCATCCACCCCCAACACGAGACAAACAGCACACTTGCACATAAAAAGGTAAGACACCAGGTGCCCAGCCTTGAGGACTGGGCCGGTGGGTTAAAGAGTCTTTTATGGCATGCCCACACACACAGTGTCCAAATCTCACGACAGACAACCATAGTGACAGTTACTATACAGAGACAGTAGAATAAAAGAGGCAGTAAAAAAAATCTGTACAATCCGTCTGTAGAAAAATAACAATATAAAATCCGGAAAAAGAACGACATCTCATGCGCAGACCAGACGCTCTATGGAGGAGTGGCTATGCAATGATTCTATTTAGTGCACGTTTCACTTTCAGTTTCAGAAATTATGAGGCTATAGCATTAATTAATTACCTAAGAAAGAGCTAGAATCAACCGTCATTGATTTATTCAAGAAAGTTTTTTTTCCTTGTTCTTCGTCAACAATAGTAATCACTTGATAAGAATCAGAGATTAAGGGAAGGTTGTGCAAAATTTACGGCGCAGCAAACAAAACGCGCGCTGATGCAGACTGATCTAGCCCCACCCACTTTTTGGTATTCGCTCGGTTGTTTCTTCGGACAAGATGTCTCTTGTCGTGCATGTGTTCTTAGCCTTGCTGGCTAGCTACATATGCAGCAGTGCACGAGACTTTCCAGACGAGAGCAACATCCAACTTTGGACTTGCGATGGCTCAGACGGACAAAAGTGGTAGGTGTGGCGGGAGGACTCGGTTTTCATTGCTGACACATTACTGCCTGTGATATCTTCTGGGTACTGGCAGGGAGTTGATGAATGATACAACTATTCGTCTTGTCAGTGATATGAAGTGTGTCGATATTTCAAACTATGGAACAACAGATGGCTCCAATATCTGGTAGGATGAACCTAGCCAGGCTAGTCTATATTGTCCGTCAGTGTTTATCAAACTATCTCTAGCAGGGGCGCTCGCACACTGTACAGTTACTTATAAAGTTGCCTGTATAGTTTTAAAGCCTTGTCTCTGCTGGTTCTTTGCTGACCATCAATCTGCTATCATGCATTACGATATTTTCCAAGGTTGTTTACCTGTCACACCAGTGACAAGACCCCAAGTCACCAGAACCAAGAGTGGTCATTCAATTCCAACGGCACCATTACCAGTGTGATGTCTGGGCTATGTATTGGCACTAGTGATGGGACTGGTTCAAATGTAGAATTGCAGACTTGCACTGGCCCAAAAGTGGACATTCTCAATGTGAGCACAGTGCATATCAGCTACATACATACTATTGTGCAAAATGGTTTTCAGTAATTAGCCGTGTTCCCAGGCCTTCACTAGAGAGGACCTGGGAACGAGGCTGTAATCCACCTGAGAAGGAACTGAAGTTAGTCTGTTTGAACTATGCATGGTACACGTATATAGTGTTATCGCGAAATATGCATTGATGTTGCCACTCAATGCACAGGAATACAATAAGAGTTGGACAATTGTGCATGGATGTTGGGTCTAAGGCGTCATGCCAGGAGACTCCATGGAACACATACCCCTATTGCAACCCAAACCTGGATCCAGATTCGAGGGCAAAAGACCTCGTGAGCAGAATGAATACCATTGAAAAGGTGCATTGTGAAGACTGTGTTATCACGATATTGAACTTTTGACGTATCTCTCAGATAACCCAGATGCTCAGTGACAAAGATGGAGTACCCAGGTTGGGTGTTCCTCCTTTTGGCCATACAGAGTGTACTCATGGGACTCTCAATGATGGAACACTTCTCACCACTCTCTTCCCGCAAGCTCTCTCGTTTGCTCGGAGGTATATAGCTATTGATCTGTGCCTGCTACCAGCAAAACGATTTTTAGCAATCATTGTTTAACTACTGATCTGCCTGTATTGGACTTGTTACACTTCACAGTTTTGATCGAAACCTGGTTCACTCAATAGCAAGAGCGATCTCGGATGAGGTGCGGGCCAAGCACAACACCGCTAATGCAGAGAACAAGTATGACTATCCTTATGGGCTTATCTGCTGGGCTCCTGTACTTAATGTCTGCAGAGATCGTGAGTTTAGCTTACTTACCCCCATTTATTCTTGTTTTGAAAGGCACTGATATAAACAGTTCCGTTGCTTATTCGCATCTCACACACCATGTACTGTAACAACACATTCCTTGGGCGTAATACTAAATTTCTGACAAAAACCATCTCTCTCTTCCAAGCTCGTTGGGGACGATGTCAGGAGGGCTATGGAGAAGATCCATATCTCCAGGCAGAGTGTGCTAAACAGTACGTGCAAGGTCTACAGTATGGACCTGACAAAAAGCATATTGAGGCCATTGTGAGCTAGTCTCAATTGCAATCCAATCATAATATTTGTCTTTGCAGGCTACGTGCAAACACTTTGATGTTCATACAGGACCTGAGAATATTCCAGTGAGCCGTTTCAGTTTTGATGCAATTGTTAGCTACCGAGACTGGATTGAGACGTTTCAGCCAGCATTCAAAGCCTGCGGAGCAGCTGGGGCCATGTCCTACATGTGCAGCTACAATTCAATCAATGGTGTCCCAGCCTGTGCCAATCGTGAGCTACTGGGAGATTTGTTGAGAGGAGAATGGAATTTCACTGGCTTTGTTGTGTCAGACTGTGGTAAGATAATAATTATTTCCCATTTGCAATGTACAGCACATTGGATGCAGTGTACGTTTGCTTGTGCAGGTGCTATTGGAAATGTATTTTCACAGCACAAATTTGCTAATAGTGCTGAGGAGGCCTCGGAGTTTTGTGTTAAGGCTGGCTGTGACTGGAACTGTGGTGAGAAATGGTACTGGCGGTAACACCCAAGAATACTATATTTTTTCCTCAACACATAATGAATGCCATCTGGAATCTAGGAATTACATATGCCAATCTGCCAGATGTGCTAAATGCTGGACTAGTTACAGAAGAGATGATTGATACATCTGTTGTGCGACTAATGAAGGGATTTATCTCATTAGGGGTCCTAGATCCCCCTGATTCGGTCCCATATAACAGGTAGCACTTGCTATAGGGAAGTTGTTGACGTCACTTTTGATTCTGCAGTCTGAATATGTCTGGTAAAGGATCATGAGAAACTCAATAAAATTGCTGGTAATCTTAGTTTCTGTGGGTGATTACATTTATTTGGGATCCAAATTCACAGCACAAGAATCAATGGTACTGCTGAGAAATGATGGGACCTTACCAATCAATTTTGGTGCATTCAAGAGTGTGGCATTGATTGGTCCCTGTGCTGATGATCCAGACTGTAACACAGGTTTAACACCTATAGTTTAATGTTTTGAGGTGTGTAGCTACAATTATATCAAACCACTAATTGTTTTATGCTAGGTGACTATAATCCTCAGCCAGCATACATAGTTACACCCCGTGCTGCTTTTCTGAACAGATCTGGACTAACAGTAAGATTTTAGAGCCATTGAAGGCAAATTTTAATTGTGAACTTTTAAGGTGAATTATGCCAGTGGATGTGCTGATGTGAAATGCACCAGCAGCGCAGGATTTGCCTCTGCAGTAACTACAGCAAGGAGTTCAGACTTTGTGGTGTATGTTGGAGGCATCAGTCACACCATTGAGGGAGAAGGCCATGACAGAGCAAATATATTTCTCCCTGGACTCCAGAGCGACCTTATCACAATGTAAAACATGTAGGGATTTGCTGGAAGAGTTCATACTATCTTTACCTCCATTTTTCCAACTTGTCCCAGGTTGGTACAGGTAGGAAAGCCAGTGGTTGTGGTATTGACTCATGGGGCTCCAGTGGTGTCTCCAGTCTATGCTAGTGTGAATGCAGTGCTGAGTGCTGGTTATGCTGGACAAGGTTATTGTTTGTGTAAAGTTGTTTCGTGTCCATTGTGAATATACTGTACTATAGCTGTTAGTACACAAACAGTGGCAATGAGTTCCAGCTATACTTCTCTATATTATATCCATTGTTGTGTCCCCAGAGGCTGGTAATGCTGTGTATGCTGTTCTGACTGGGCTGTACAACCCAGCAGGACATACAGTAGTCACCTGGTACACTAACGGCTCCCAGTTACCCGCAATGACAAACTACAGCATGGTCAACAGAACCTATCGCTACATGACAGCCACTCCCCTCTACAAGTTTGGCTATGGTCTCTCTTACACAAAATTCAACTACTCTCATTTTCAAGTGAGTGAACGAACATACAATTAGCCATATTCATTCCACCTTTTATACAGCTGAGTCCTCAAACAGACATAAAACCATGTGATTCAGTGGAGATGAAGGTGACCGTGACTAACATAGGCAGCGTGGTGGGCAGTGAAGTTGTCCAGTTTTATGCCACTCTTACAGTTAGTGTTGACTACAGTACCAAAATGTTCAATTAGATATTTCTGTACAGAATTCACCTGTCACTACAGCTCACATCAAACTAGTTGGTTTTAATAGAGTGGAAAACCTTAGTCAAGGAGCACATGCAGTTGTCACAGTCTCCATGGACCCTTCTCAGATGACAGTAAGCATTTTCATTATGTTTCCCAGGCAACCAGGCTGTTGTTGTACACAAATTCAGGTGATTTATGACTTTGGAAATGTTCCTATGATTGTGCCAGGAGAATACCAAGTCTATGCTGGTGGAAGTCAGCCAAACGATCACAATTCTCCATCAAATGTGCTTAGTCTTAGCTTTACCATTACTGGAGATCCTATTCCCTTGTCTAACTGCACCTCAAATTAAAACATGATAGATCTGCATGTTCGTAGTGCATTGCCTGTTGTGTCTGAGAAAATAGCTTCCCTCCTGTATCACTTATATTTTAAAACAGAGAACTGGCTTTTCTCTTGCTAAAAATGACCGCAAAGTACCTAATGAGTATAATACCAAATACAAACAGGATGGATAAATTGAAGTGCCATAAATCACAAGATAAAGATAAATAGTCAGCAGAGTGTTGTAGTGAATGTCTGAGGTGATTTATGTCATTCTCTGGTGGTGCTGTGTTACAGGGGTAGCAGTTGAGAGTGCAACCAGTGGTCGAGTTGAGCTGGTCTTACCAGTCTTAGAGGAATCAGCCAGCTCCTTGACATGCATGGGTGCATCATGCAAAATATGTGGGTTGAGAGGTTATTGCGCAATACAAATCTTGCACTATACTCAAGACGAACACAATGCCCTACAGGTGCTGGATTTTCAGATAAGTAATCTACAGGGTGCAACAGCATGCCAACAATCAAATCCCAGTTTGAAAACCTTCTAACATCTCTGTTACGCTTTTTTGCATTGTCTTCATAGCCAAGTTGCCCATGGTAGAATCAAACGCAGTAACAGACAATACCTCTCCCTACAGGACTGCAGATATACATGTGTTCAACCTTTATTAGCACGTGCACTGTCAGGGGAAAGCAATGATAGCTATGCCACACATTCCTTGCTGCTCCTGCACCATTATTAAACCATGCGCAGCAAGGGGTTACAGGTCTTGGTTTGTAAGCTTGTCTGTCTGTCTGTCTGTCTGTTACCACGTTTCTGGCAACAAGCTGGCCAAAGACCGGCACAAATGGGTTCAGCGACACACTGGCTTGATTTAAAAATTTTGCCCATTTTCGTAAAAACACTGCACTGTGTTCAAGAGGTTTACAGTGCGAGAACAAGTGAACAAGCCAATATGGAATTACTACTGGCTTACCCCAACCCCAGTCCGCCTGTATACATACTGTGGAGGCATCAGAAGTTACAATGGAGAGCGAATATAGAGTGTCGAGGCCTAAAATGCTATCTACTGCTCGCCGTGTAAACCCAGAGAGCACGGGTAATTCTACAGCATAGTCCAGTGTATCAGCATTGACATGGGCATGCAAGTACGACTCGTGAACCAAGGGTTTGCACTTTAGTGCTTTTAGTTGCTTCATGTAAAGCTAAACCCCTGGCATGAAACACATGAACACTGGTGATCACAAATTATATGGGGGGAAGGGTTCTCTCCTCGCTAACACTTAGATCCAGCACGTTTTTTTGAGTTTTTAACCCTTGGCGCGCATGCGCCAGGGGGGTTTACAGTACTTGGTTCGTAAGTCTGTCTGTCTGTCCGCTCTGCTTAACCCATTACCTCGCACTATGACACGTGCAACAAGATTATTGAGTATGATAAGGTAAAAAAATTTTTTTTAAAAGCCGTTTTCGCTAAAATCGTCTACCTAAAAAGCGTGTTTTGTTTACCGTGGCCAAGTCCGCCATTTTGTTTCTTTTTCATGAGTGACACGTGCATGCGTTTTGTGATACTATGCGCATGAGGATGCAGTAGATAGAAAGAGCTTGAAGCCTACCACTCCACTATTTTGGCTTTAGTGGTACAAACAGTCTTTGCCAAGCACACTGCCGTTGGATACTGCGAGTTCGATTCTGGCTGGCATATTGTTTTTACACCACTTTCTTCATGCCTAGCTATCTTCATTTCATTTTTAGCATATTCCCAAGTGTGGGTGAAGTAGCTATATTTTTTGCTTCTTGAGACGTTGGAGGAACATGGTTCTGTGCCGAGGGTTTGCGCTTTAGTGTTTTTCATACACAAAGCAGTCGTTTACTATCAACTAAGTGATGGTTTGTTTATACACACCTTCATGAACTTGGTGGTGACAATCTCACGGATCTCCCTGGGCCAGAGAGGACCTTGAACTGAGCCATCCCTTCTTATCCACATCTAGAGTAGCACTACAAAAATAAAATACTCAGTTTGGAAACATTCACTCCCTTACCTTATTTTCCCTATCGGCATATATTTCGGAAGGTACACCAGCTTTTACATGGATTTCGATGACAAAATGATCGTTTCTGTTACACGGTACAAAATTTATCCTGCATGTAATACAAAGAAATAAAGTTTCAAATGCGAATTAATGTCCTTTTAAGGATGTACCGAAACTGACTTTACAAATCTGTGGAACAAAGTTTGGTACTTTGCATTACAGTTGGTATTTTGGAAACATGGGCATGCTTGGTTTGATTGTTTAACCCTAATCTCTCTCAAGGTCCCCACATTAATTCTTAGCATGAGCATTTGCATGACTCAACCATTACCTCCATGCCTATGCAGACATGAAGTGTGTTCAGAAACCAGGGAGAGTGGTAGTGAAGCTTGGACGCCACAATGCTTGGGATATGACTTTCAGGGTTAGCATTATAGAAAGTATGGAATCTCTATCCACTGAACCGACATAGAAATGGTCCCAGATAAATAAACAGATGGGAAAGAATATGAGTACCACATAATCGCAAGAAGTAGGTGGACCAGTATCAGGACATGGAAGACTGTCTTTACAGATTGACTCTTGCAGAGGCAAGTAAAGTCAAATGTCAGCAATACAATCTAGTTTGTGATGTCCAATAGATAACAAGAAAGGGTACAATAAAAATGGTTTATACCATAGACAACTGGAGCTATTTGGTGATTCGCCAACAGGCAACTTTCGCAACAGTCTCTACTGGAGGAGATCTCGTGGGTCTGGGAGACCAAGGAACAGTTGCAGGTTTCCTACCGCTTTGGCTGTCTGTGGAGCCAAGCCCTAGTCTCCAAGAAATGCAGCAAAGCAGCAGGTTCAGAAACAGGTAATGGAGAGATGAGTTGAAATTTTGTAAAAAAAGTTGTAGAACCGCTTTGAAGCAGCAGCGTACTTTTCCTTGTTCAAAATACTTCCGAACTGATCCCGCAATCGTGGATATACCCAATCTACCCGAGGATCCAGGAGGTCGATAAGTGTTGGCCGTAGAGATGCCTTGGGTAAAGCGATCATGGGACAGATCATCCGCCAGATGGCATAATTATCTATCTATGTAGCGGGGAATGAGATGAAAATTGTAGTAGGCCTCAATAAAGACACTAGGTTATGCAACAAATGCATGATGCCCTTGTGCTTGCTTGACCAGGAGCGAAGGCAAATGACTACCGCCTAATTGACACAGTGGCATACCACCTGGTAGTTATGCCACGCCCAGAGGATACCCGTGAGCAAAATCGAGGAGGTCCTTCACCATGATAGAGTGTTGGCATCCGTTACCCGGAACAAATTCTGTCCAGACTATGCACCACAACCGCAATGGCCAGACTGGCCTGCTTGCACCACTTTGCATGCATGATTTTATCAGGGTCACCAGGGATTCCAACTGTTGCAGGTGCACACTTTCCTCTCGCCCCATTCCAGCAGTAATGACTGGCGTTGCTGCAATTTATCATCTGGGAGCCAAAGTTCTCCTGCGATGGTGTCCATTTCAATCCCTAGAAAGACCAAGTCGGACCCCCGGTTTTGTGGGCGGCAATAGGTACTCCTAGCCGGCTGCAATCTTGCTGCAGTGTAGTGAGGTCATGCTGACACTGGGGAGACTGAGGGGGCACCAACAAGATGAAGTCGTGGGGAATATGAACATGGCCCCTTGATGGCCACCACATGTGCAGTAAAGATGAGGATGGGGGCCACCACAGTCCATGCGCTGGTGTGCATACCAGCGTGTTGAAGGTGTCTTCTTACACTTGCCATCATTGAAGCAACGGCAACACTCGGCTGAGTGGCCCCCGCGTCCTGACCATTGATGGTTTGAGTACTGCGGTGGTGTCAGAGATGAGTCCAAACCACGCAAACCACGGTGGTGCTGAGGCAGATGGTCCTCCTGGAGGCAAAAGGAGCAGCGGGGAATGGCCTTGGCGTGGCCAGTGAAAGCCTCGTTGTAAAGGCGAGCATTCATGACCAGTCGAAGTTCTTCTTTGCCAAAGCCTCCCTCCAGTAGCACCTGTTGTAGGACACCCACCGCCGATCGTCAAAGTTTCTCTAACCCGAACAATTGATGCCTGGAAGGTGAACAATTCTAGTGGGAATCTCAATGCAATGCGGGTGACAATCACCAATCAATCCAGACAGAGATGTTCTGGATTGGTGGGCAAGGTGGGATGGGGGTTGTCTTGGGGTGTGGGGAGTGGGGTCGTCGAGGGAGATGTCCGACATCTCCACAAACTTCAGGTCTAATATTTTCTTCGCAACCTCCGCGGGGAGGACAGCGGCCAGATTTTACGACAAGGATAGGCTGGGGAGCACCGAGCATGAGGATGGGGCCTTTCCTTTTCCAACCGTGTCTGACCGGGCGGCAACGGCCACTTCTGCCAGGAGGTTAAGGCCAGCGTCCCCAGAGTGTCATTCAGTACATACATAATGTGCAGAGTTGCTCTGTGTGCCATGGAAATCCTTCAGCTCGTATGATTATCACCTGCAGAAAAGAGTAAATGCTCCTCATAAGGGTGACTATACTTGATTCAGTAGTCGCAAGTACTCGTGCTAACAACTTCCGCATAGAATGAGCTATGACAAATTCCACTGAATTCCTCTCACCGTTCTGAGTCTGAAAATACGCATTACGTCGCGCTGTGACGCTTGGAAGTTCGCGTACCGCACTTGCCCAGACATTGTTATGGGCATTCCATTGACCACAAGTTTGCAGAAGTCGCGCGTACACGTAACTTCACGCACATACATTCACAGGTTTGATGAGTATGGGACAGAACAGTAGTAGAAGACGATTTTAGCTGATACTTTCATCACTGATACTGGAGGACGTGGTGCACTCACTCTTCATCAGAGCTCTCTGAGTCTGAACCACCTACACGTATTATAAATTCTTCTATGTACGACTCTTGTAGAGCATCTTTTTCCCAGAATTTATCCTCCACTTTATCTTGTACGTGCTTTACTAATTTCCCCCAATTCTCAGGACCAACTTGAGCAATTCCTGTGCGTACTAACTGCTTCACATGCGTAAGTGTAAATAGAGTATTATGCGACCTAATGTAGCCTTTTGCCTGGGTACAAGCCATTTCTATGGGATTGAGCTCGCAATGGTATGGTGGTAAACGTACCACTTCATGGCCAGCAGCTTTTGCCATCTCCTCAACTGCATACACTGCAACAGGGTTTGAAGACTATTAAGCTGTAAAGTTCACACACTTTAATGCTCTTTCAGGGAATTGCATTCCACGACTTGTTAGCCAGTCTTTCATTTCTTGCTTGGTACAGCTCTTGGTTGGTATTTTCTGTAAGCGTCTAGTGTGATAGGATGCATTGTCCATCACTATTAAACAATTAGGCTCTAACTTGGGTATTAACTTATCAGGCCTAAAGTGGGTCAAAATGACCCACACTTTTTATCTCCTTATTGCTGGTGTGTACAGGCAGAGAGAAGTGTGTTACTTTGCGATTCGTAACTGCGCATGCGCATTTTAGATTGCTCTATCAGCAGTTTTCCACGTGGTAACCAAGGATCATGTCGGGGTGTTAGTTGCTAAGTCGGCGTTGCCTTTGTAGCGTTTAGCGCTATGGGACTAGTAACAAATATTGCGGCTTATGCACCTACACTAAAATCTGTCTCTCCCTCCATTCATACTTTATTGCAGAGGATGACAGCAGTGTGGTGTCCACGTAGCTGTTCAGGGAGTAAGGGTTGCGGCACAGAAACAAGCTCCGATGATGAACCTCGCGCTAAGCGCAGTTGTGTCCGGGAAGGAGGAAGTAGAGGTAGAAGAGGGAAAAGGGGTGTAAATCGTAGAAGAGGAGGAAGATGTCAAGATGAGGATAGAGGTGGATGTGATGATGGTGGTGATGGTGGCAGGGGTGGTAGCGGCAGTGGTGCTGGCAGAAGTCGGGGTACACGTGCTAGAGGTAGCCGTCGTAGTAGAGGGAGGCGTGGTGGCACACGCGGAGGAAGTCAACCTACTAACAGAGGAGGGGGAGATGGAAGGGGAGGGGGAGGGGGAGCAGACAAGGGTGCGCAACCAACTGAAAGGTATTTTACTAATGTCACAGAATTCCTTGCATTGTTTTGCATAATAGATATACGTACCTGTAAGCTAAACAGGTCCTCCCTATAATCATATTTTTTGTTTTGTGACAGTGGTGGGACTCTCACCTGGATATCACATGGAGTGAAAAGCACTCAGAGCAGCGAGTCTCCAAAATCTCTGCCTCGTTTTGACGCACCTATTGGCCCGACAGTGAGAACAAAGAGTTCTAAATCTCCACTTGCTGTTTTACAGCTTTTCCTCACTGCGGCTATTCTTAAAAGTATTGTGTTGCAGACCAACACTTTCGCAGAGTCCAAAGGGGTGAGGCTTGATTTGCACGTGGAAAAATTGCAGGCCTTTCTTGGCATGAATATTGCTATGGGATTGCTGAGACTGCCTCAAGTTCGCGACTACTGGGGAACTGGATCAATTCTCAGTGTTCCATGGTTCCCATCAATCATGCCTCGTGACAGCTTCTTCCAGATACTGCGATATCTTCACTTGGTACACACATCCACCCAGAAAAAGAAAGGCGAGGAAGGGTATGACCCACTCTTCAAGGTTCGACCACTATTGGACCACCTCTCCGGCGTGTTCCCAAGGTATTACCAACCCTTCCGCTGTCTCTCAATAGATGAAACAACCAAAAGGCTCACAAGAAAAACATCCTATTCCATGTCCAACCTGTGTGTCAGATTATAACGAATACATGGGAGGTGTAGATTTGACAGATCAACACATCAGCTACTATAGCCTTACTCAGAGATGAACTCTGAAATGGTGGAAAAAAAAATTCTGGAGAATGGTGGACATCTCCATTTTGAATTCAGGATCATTTTCTGCTCAAATTTTCCTGAGAGTGAGATCAATTCTCACAGGCTTTTAGGCTTGAGCTTGCTCACAAGTTAGTGCAGCCACTACTCTCACTCAAACATAGTACGGAGAGCCCACTTTCGTATTCTAAGGGTCGGCGGCCATCTTCCCTTGAGAAAAGACTACAGGGAAAGCACTTTCCCTACAAACAGTCGACTAGAGAAAGATGTGTAGCGTGCTATAACACTAAGACCCCAACAGGCAACCGTAAGGACACAAAGACGACCACCTACTGCCCTAAGTGTGAAGTAGCTCTTTGTATTGGTGTGTGTTTTGAAGTATTTCACACCAAGTCAAAGTATTAGTAGTATACAGATGCTGTGATACACATACACCTATACTGACAGTTACGCCTCAGGAAACTCCAATGTAACCCAATGTTTCTGTGTTGAAACACTTCGTTGACATCCATTGTAACCCACTCTCTTATGGTTTTCATACGCGAAGTGCGCGCGTTTCATCATTAGCGCACGCATGCATGAAATCAAATTTCTGCACGGCCGGTATAATTATACGCGCGCGCTCTCTCGATAGTGCCTGCATAATAATGGTTATACTGCATTCAAGCTAGATTATTGATAAACAACAAGTATGGTGTAGCGTGGGCAATAGCATTCTGGACTGGTTACCATGTAGAAGTTGATTATTGCTGCTAATAGCTACTAGGTGAGACCCTTTTTGGCCCTTTGACTGGAAGAAAGGGTTATTAAAACTTTTAATGTAGCTAACTTTATACCCAATTTATATTTCAGGAGTCTATGAGTTTTAAACCACTCTTCAAAATGCTCACCAGTCATTTCGTCATGATAATCACCTGTAGGAAATACTAGCTCAGCTCCAGCAACCCATCCTTTTCTACTACCAGCGTGCAAAATAATTAGACGTGAACCTTTCCCTGACGGCTTTCTGACACCACCTTTCGTACCACCAATTGCCTGATCAAACTCTACCCATGTACGATCCTTTCCATCATGGGCATTAGCCCAGGTTTCGTCTCAAAAATCAACTGGACGATTCTCCCTTCTGTTCTTCCTCATTCTTCTTAAATACTTGTGTCGTCACTCAATTATTCTTGGCTGCTCATACACTTATCTCTTGTCATATACCTTTCTGTAAGTAAATCCTATTTTACGCAATAGCTTCCACAAAGTAGTGCGATGGCCAGTGAACAGACCTTTTTCTCTTAGTACACTTGATAGCTTCTTCAACGTTGGGTACTCTTTCCTTTCATAAAACTGGTGAATTGTACGCCTTATACCATCCGTATCGAAATCGTCTACTACAATACGTACCCTGCTGGCCTTATATCTCTTAGCTGGCGACTCAAATGCAGCCCCTGAACTTGCTCGCTTTATGGCTAAAACACGCTCGACTGTACGCACGCTATACCCTGTGGCCTGAGCCGTTTTAGTAGACAACTCTGCAGGAACACGAGCCTTACTCTTCTTGTGCTGCTCCTCAAAGAAAGCGTACACGTTGCAAAGGACGTTTTGGTAGCCCGCCTTAGTCTCTGTCCCTTAGGCATGCCGTCTCTCCCTCTCAGTCTCTCTCTCAGTCTCGCGGCAAAATGGCGGTAGCTACTGCGCGCGGACTACCCGTCCACTTTCTGCATTCCCTTTCCCACAAATATGTGCTAATTGTTTACATAACTTGCTACAGTTGCTTCCGCTAAACCGGAGTGCAACTTCTCAACGTGAACCAACTTTAGAGCATGCTATACTCCTTAATCGCAAGGCCAACAGTAACTAACATGTTTCCTGTTATATATGTCTACACAGTGCCTTTCCTTCGTGGAAATGGTGAAGTGTATTACTGCCATTCCTGGAATAAATGTATTCTTGAGCAATGGACCCACTTAAGAAAAACAAGGACAGAGGGGGCGAGTACATGGAAACCCACCAGTGGCTTACTTCACCCAGGCTCTGAGGAAACTGCAGAGGTGGCAACATCAGCCAAAACTCTCCCCACTCCCTCATTCCACTAACTCCCCGGGCCCGTTTCCTCCAACTGCATTTTGTGGACACTGAACTGTCCGCCACTCCTACCCTCCTCCCTCCATTTAGCCACTGTACCTAACTATGCTTCTTGTAGTTTGTAGACAACAACGTGTCTTAAAGCCTACATGGAGAAATTGCCAGTTGCTTACAAAGCTGTTTTGGACAGGAAAAGCCTTCTTGAGTAGGATACTTAACAGCGAATCCGTGACGTGTTGGAAGAATGTTGGGGGACATGTGCCAAGTAGGCAAAACGCTCAAAAATGACGTAAGTACCTTATACATATCCACACTTGGTTGAAATAGCCCTCACATTGTGTCTTTCCTCTTGGTTGCAGTAGAGCCTAGTAAATCCACACAAGGTCAATGACAGACTGAGAAGTTTTTCAAGCCAATAATTATTGGTCCACGACTTAAGATGAGAATCGACAGTTTTCAAGGTATCAGCGAAGACATACGCAACATATCACTACATATCATCTCCTGCAGTGTTAGCACTAACAGGGATGCTGCATCTACTGGAGAAAGGCATATATCAATGCCACAATGGGATTACCGTTCTCGTCATTAGCACACATGGCTACTTCCCACAACTCACTCACAATCAATCACACATGTATACACAGAATTGCACACACACTGTACCGTCACGCTCTGACCTTGCATTTCCAGTTATGAAAAAAATACGGAAATTGCCTCCCGTTTCCAATCCCGGTTACATAGCATAAGTGCAGCTGTCACTCACATGTATAAATCACCGCCAACTGGAGGAGTGAAGTGGTTAAATTCATTGATGATCATTCCAGACACTAGTTGTCGGTCAGGATGTGTCAATCTCAGACCAACCACTCTTCCTGTAGTCAACAAAAAAAGAGTTGTCATAAAAAAAAAAGTAAGTGTGTGTGGACTATTATCAAAGTAACCATCACTCTAATCTTTGAGAACCACTAAAGCACACATGGAATTTCCCCCAAAACAATTTAACAGATGCTGCAAAAGCAAAACCATCACAGATTGACAGTGGTCTACTTAGAGAGATCCTTGAACACACACCTAACTTACACACACTACCTGTGTACATGTGTAATTCATATAGTTCATAAAACTTTGTGAAGATGATTTTCAGATTCACAAATCATTGACGTTGAATCTATTTTCTCGAACCAGTAACAAATCATAGAGTAAGTACAAAAGTACCATCATCACTTATTCCAACATACAAAGTTCCCCCATCTGAATTTAGAAACGCCGAGCCATACTTCTGGATATGCTGCACAAGAAGTATAAATACACAGTTGAAGCAGTTAACTCGATTAGGGGTGGTTGAATGACATTTTCCATAAAGTATGCATGGCGGTGTACTGCATGTTGAATACTTCCAAGGGAAGAAGGTGGTTAAAAATGGAGGGCAACCCCCTCTCTCTCTCTCTACATACTTGATGTATGCATGTTATACCGATGGTAAGACTTTAAGAGGGTAGTTTCCTCCCCCAGTTTTGTACTCGACATTACGGCTCTCAGTTGCTGGTAAAATAGTGCCAATGCTGTACATCAAACTAAAGGAAACAGTCACAATGTACACAGTTGCACACAGATTGAGGATTTGAGATAATATGCGTCGACACACATGGCTTGCTTAAGTTATATGTAGTTACTCTACCTATCATAGAGTGACCTGTCACCTGTCCTGTCACCATTTTAACGGCTGCTTGAAGACAGGTTTGCCTAAAGTTAATATCCCTAAAACCCTCAACTTACACAGTCCCATGTGACAGCTTTGTCACTTTGATCAATGAAACAAAGTGAAACCCTTGGTGCAGCCCATATGCATGTGTGGTACCGCTAATTGATGGGCTAGGTTATGCGTTGTTCATTTACTCGTGGTCTCCTGCCAGACTGGTAGCTCTGACACAGGCTAGCCACACTAGTAGATAAAACACAGGACGTGGTACACCCACTCCAGTTGTGACTTATTTTGCCTCCTAGGTATACAGAACAAGGATGAGGTGGCAAGTGCTAATTTGCATGTTAGCTTGTTCTCCTGCTTTTCACGGCATAACTCAAAAGCATATTTTAAAATCAAGCCAGTGTAAGAATGAACCTGTTGGTATTGATCATTTGTTGTCTTGTTGTGCATGGAAGCTCAAAATGATGGACGGATAGACAGGCATACTCATAAACCAAGTACCATAACCGTCACTGTACATGCGAACCGAAGGTTAACAATGACTGAGGATGTCATATGTTGGGTTGGCCTCATGTTACGTCATTACCGGAAGGTAGTTGCAATTTGGAGCGCTGGGCACACTGCCAGTAGGTACATACATAGCCAATGTAGAGGATAGTCAGCAATCCCACAAGGCTGGTCTTTGCTAACAGCATTTAAGAATTTAACTCTGCAGGTCCTGCTGTACAAGCTCCAGCAAGTAGGCTCGGCCTGATTTAACGTGCCTTTCACCACAAAGCTACGCAGTCTCATCATAATGGCACTTGGCAAGTTGTTGTATAGTGTTTTTCCGCTTGGAAAAACTTTTACTCTTGTCTGTTCCCGAGTTAAAATGACAGGCTCCATCTGGTGTGGGGGAACGTTGCATTCAACCATCAGATGCATCCATCCATGGTGAAAACCCATTTGAAGTGTTCAAGAGCGGCAGGGTTTGTTATTGTGGACCGTACTGGAACAGAGCTGTGTCTGATTACGGCCATTTTGGTTATATTACCACCCGGAGTGACCAAGCGATTCACGAGCGGGCAAAGGAAAGGCAAGCTAAGCAGCGAAGTTTAGGAAGACAGACAATGACCAAGATGCTGTTGGATGGCACATGCACACAGGAAATTCTGTGCAACTGATGTTACAGTCAGAGCCCAGTCAGGATTGTTGTCAACAGCTAAACTTTGTGGAGGTGTTGGCTTTATCAAGGAGGCGAGTCTTGAACGACTGCCGTCATCTCGTCTGCTATTCACTTAGTAGCATTTGCCTGCTCCCCCTCATGACTTATGACGGCAGCGAAGTCGTTAAAATGACTTGTTCCTGTTTCTGTCGCCTACTTCGAGCAGCCAAAACATCCACAATCGTTAGTTTTTAGCATACACACGGTTGCCTTCCAACATGGCGGGCGTGTCATTTGGCCATGTCTACTGCACACTGTCTATTGGGCACTGTGCTATACATCTGTATTCTGATGCAATCACCTTCCAGTTCTATGCTAGCTAGATGTGTCTAGTTTTGGGGGAAGTGCTTTTTTGTCTGTTGTCTATTGGGGGTTAGTCACCCCATTAAGCAGGCCTGTTCAATGGGGCTTGTGCCTTGCATTCCACCAGAAATATATTATCCACAGTCAATGGTGCACAGAGGTAGTCTGGAACTAGATGTATCAATGAGGTCCGGCTCCGATTACAATCTATCCCACACAGCACTGGTTCAAAATCTAAGTAGTACGTACACCTAATTCTTGAATACAACCAACTAACACCAGAGGACCTAACACGTTATCGCATATGTACCTACATAATTATATAAATTACTGTCTTGTTTCCTCGCTGCCGTTCCAGGAGAGAAAGCTACCTCTGGAGTCAGCTGATACACCACGCTCTGCTCCCCCTGCTCCCCAGCTCCAGCCTATAGGTGTTTGTTTAGAAGTACAGAGCCACGATTTCGGTCACCCCTTGACTTACTGCAGCCATTGCACCTTGCACTTTTTATGCGCCTTCAATTCAGCGTCCGAACCCAACGTTCTGAGCATGCGCACGCGGAGAGGAATGTCGCTTCACGTAGTAGTATAGTATACACCACAGCAGTTCGCTATTCAGTTACGGCTTTTTGGCCTACTAATTAATTCCTCTAATCTCTAAGCACGGGTGATCATTATAACAACAATAACATATTCTAGGCCAGGTGTGATATAACAGTAGTGCTCATGCGTAGGACAATACGTACGGGTGAAAAGTTTTGTGCTTTTAATTAACCTTTTGTGTGACAGAAATAATACCAGTGACTCATTTCCTCCATGCAGGGATGCAATAGTGAGCCACTAGCTATACTTGATCCAAAAAGAGCAACTTATGACTGAGCAGAGAGACCAAAATAGGAACGTATGGGAGTACGCATGACATGTAAATCTCCAGTTTATTTAATTGCGCATTTGTACAGATTTGTATGTTAGACTTCATGAAGCTATGAGTCAACAGCGGGATGATATATCATTATATCACAGAACACAAAAGTTCATGTGTTATGGGAGGAAATGCTATCTCAAACTATAATAGGCTCTTTTTTAGAATGATGATTGTCTTGAAACAGCAGCTTCGATGCTGTTAGTCCAATGATGCAACCCAATAGCATCTGATATGAAAGGAGAAACACATGCAGAGGGGACGTTAGACAAAAGAATTGGAAAATGTATTTGCACTTACCCCAAAAGTAGCATCTGAGTTCCAGTGGTAGCAGTCACCAACACGGCTGACTAACACAGCCACAGGAAACATGTAGAGCAGTATGACAACACAGACTCTCCACGTCAGGGGGGCTCGATCATGTGACTCCAGCAAACCCAGGTACAGGCATGTTGCTACAGCACTGGTCACACTGGTATGCCCAGCAGGAAAAGATAGGTCTAGCTTTGAAAAGGCAAGGTGATTCACTACAGTTGTACTCGGTCCAGTCCACTGGTATGGGTCACCATAGGCATTAGGTCTGTAACGATGAATAAGTATCTTCAGTGTTCCCGATAACACACCTCCAAGGACAATGCCTGCCACACAAGCGAAGATGGTTAGTCTAAGTATCTTTTGCTTTGATGGGACTATAAACAAGGTCACCAGATATACTCCTATCAATGTTGGCAATAGTGATGGAACTTCACCAAGTCCTCGACCCAAATTTTGAATGAACTCTGCCACCATTCCTGGAGAGTATCCATGGAAGAGCTTGTGCCACGATTTTATCCATGCATGTTGTAGAGGATAAGGGAGTTGAGGGCGAGAGGATGCTGGAATTAGCACTGGCCAGCACGGTTGCCCTTTCATTGTGTATCGAATCACACAAGTCAGATCAGCATCAAAAACAAACATCAACAACACCATCATTGATATGAAAAATATCGTGAGTCTCTGCTGCCAAACAATTCTTAGTGTCCTCATAATGACTGATTTTGATTTATTTCCCTCAAGTTGTCCAGTTTTCCATTCCAGAAATGATGAAACAGGGAGAAAAAGTAGCCACATGGCAGTCGGCAAAATAAACAGTGTAATAAAGGCAACAGAGAAGAATATCAGTGAGTAAGGAGAACCATTGGACAGTTCATGTATGGAAACCAATAAGAAACAATTATGTTGAAGCTCCAGTATGAGACAAGTAGCGCCATTGAGCGTTTATCTTCTTTCAATAAGTCTGAGACCTTTTCTCTTGATAGTAAAACTGAGGAAGAGGTAGTGACATCTCCCTCTTGATACTTACAAGATATCATGACATAGGCCAGCACGAGTGCAGCAAGAGGAATGGAGCAGAGGTAACCTCCACCAGTCCATGTCCAGGAGATGGTGAAAACCACTATACACACAGTTATCCACAACATCTGAACCAAACAGGAGGAAACAAAACTTATCTCAACTATTTGTGAAGTATAACTGATAAGTCTTGCAAATGCAGGTATACACAGGGGCATTTCCCTGCAAACATTTCCAAGTTGATCAAGTGCATGCAGTTATTCTGGTGTTTGGGAGTCCTGAACTCAAACAATGGCAAAGTCAACAAGGGAAGGAATTTATAATTATAGCAATTGTAAGGCTCGTTTCGCTCAAAAACATCGCAATCTTTTGAGAAAAGTTCTTTAAAGACGATAATTGACATGTATAGCTAATTATTATGTTGCCTTTTGGTAAGGCGAGAAGAATCAACTTGTGATCCGTTGCTGCTCTTTTGCACACAACATGGTGATAGCTACAGAAGTCAGTTAACCATAAGTGTAGTGTTGCAATTATGTCTGCTGTTTGTTACTCTAGTTGCTCAGGTGTCTCAGAATTTGGGAATGTATTGTTTAGCCAACCGTGTAGGTAGCTAGTTAGCTATTCTTAGGATAGCTTAGCCATCGCTGTAATGAAGGCGTGAAGGCAGTTAATTGAGAGGTTATCCGAGGTCGCAGGTTTTCACCCACTCATTCTGTCCTGAGTATGTATGCAGTTACCTTAGCAATAGAAAACGGTTTTGTTGTTGTCAATGGTGAAAGCTCACAACCTATAGTGGTTCGCTCAGGAGTACCACAAGGCTCCGTGTTAGGTCCACTGCTGTTTTTACTTTACATCAACGACGTCACTAAACTACACCTTTCTAAGGATTCAAGGTTGTCTCTCTACGCTGATGACATGTTACTTTACAAGCCAATCACTTGTCAGACATCATAATGACGAAATACAGCAGGATATTCACTGTCTAGCCAAGTGGTCAGATGAGAACATGTTGTCTTTTAACACTAACAAAGGCAAATGTATGTTGCTGTCCAACAAACGCAACAATTTTCTCCGCCATTGATTTACTTAATAATCAGCCACTTGGTGTGTCCAGCAGTATATACAAGTATTTGGGTGTGATTCTATATATCAAGCAACTAATGCTGGTCATCTCACAACCATGCTTCATGTATCCCATCCCTATTTGTCTCCCTTTCTTTTTATACCATCTATTTTTTATATTCGCAGGATTTTTTGGTAAATGAAGTGCAAACCCTCGGCGAACTGCGCATGCGCGATACTGCTAATTGATGGGCTGGGCTATTTGTACTCGCGGTCTAGCCAGCGGAGAGTCTGACGCGGGCAAGCTTAAGTAGTAGATAGCATGCGGGAGTCGATACATGCCATTTGTTGTGACTTCCTGAGCCCCCAAGGTACACCGAGCGAGCGGATCAGGTCGTGGCAAGCCCAGTGCTATTATGCATATTGGCTTTTTCGCTTGTTTTCACGGCATATCTCTCGAACGCAGTCGTTTCAGGAAATTCTCCCTTTTATTTTTCAGGCTCGCGTAGTTCTGAAGCCGTTTGTATCGATAATGGGCCACCTCCTAGCCTGTAGTGCCAGAATAAGCGTCGACACACACACACACACACACAGCGACTACAGTAATCAACCAATCAATCATTGCACGGACCCACTAGGGCATGGCAGGTATATATCATACATAGCTACACAAGACAGACAAAACGTGTAGGGAGTGAAATCTAGCTAGAACTAGCACTGTCCCCAGTTGATATGTTGTAGAATTCACTGTGCACCATCATTGGTGGTAGTTGAAGTCGCATAAGACAGAATGTGGACGGACACTTTATTAGAGGCACGAGTGACCGACACCCACTCCCACCACCACTCCACGGCAGATCATGAGCCACAGAATACCAGCTGTCGGCATCAGCCCCAAAGAGCTACCCTTCTCACCATGGGAGTAGAACAAGTACGACCCATGGATATTGCGACCGCCGGATATTTGACTAGCCTCCCACGTGGACAGATCTAGCAGCTGAAAAACGGGAGCATGCGCGCCGAGGGCCCCGCATCGCAGCAAGCGTGAGGTTGTTTCCAACCTGGAGCTCGATATCCCAAGCCAAACTAACCGCCCAGCCCTATTTATGAAACGGCATGTTGCTAGCCATATAATTTAGCGACTTACCGTGTAGGCCTTCATGGTTCTGCAGCTCCTGACAAACTCAGCGCTCTGCAATCCAGTAGCCAACTAGCTACGGCAACACGGGCGGGGAGGGGACACTATGCGCTATTATAGCTATCCCCCTTAGCGGCAAATATTCACCCACATCAGTTGTCGTGCCTCGCCCCATACAGTGTGTTACCTGCTGTGGGCCGCTGAGGTTGTCCCTAGAGTAAACAGAAGCCTTTGTGTACAAACGGCGGTAACAGTCATTACTAAACCAGGGCTACTTCATGGCTACTCTAATTTAGGGACCACACAGAAAGGTGACAGAGAAGAAGTTTGGACAATGCGTCTTGGTCAGAAGCAACCTCCACATAATTACATGAATGCTATTTGGACTTCCCATCCTTCACTGATGCATGATGACGACTTAGCTATTACAGATCCGATCATGTATGTAGCTAACAGCCAGAAATGTGGTTGAGAAGGAGCTGTCATCCTTACATCGTTGTGTGAACTGTTTGCAGTTACCGGCATCCTAAATGTATAATAAACCCTCGGCGAACTGCGCATGCGCGATACTGCTAATTGATGGACTGGGCCGGCTATTTGCGTTTACTCATGGTCTTCCGCTAGTAGCCCGCGGAGAGTAAGACACGGGCTAGCTACAGTCAGATAGCATAACATGCCATTGGTTGTGATTTCCTGAGCCCCCAAGGTACACAGAGCGAGCGGATCAGGTCGCGGTAAGCCCAGTGCGATTATGCATATTGGCTTTTTCGCTCGTTTTCACGGCATATCTCTCGAACGCAGTCGTTTCAGGAAAATCGCCTAATATTTTTTCAGGTTCGCGTAGTTCTGAAGCCGTTGGTATCGCTCATTAGCCACCTCGTGGCCTGTAAGCGTCGACACACAGACAGACAGACAGACAGACAAACCAACTACCGTAACCCTCGATGCGCATGCGCGCCGAGGGTTAATATTATACCCTATTGTGGTTGTGAAGCTTTATAGCTAATCTGGCTCGATCTGGTATTTGATAAGGATGTTTTATTGTTACATTAAACATGTTATGGGAAGCAGTGCATCTGAAAGGGAGAGACTCGTGATCAAAGGGGCCGACCTGCTGTAGCACTCATGTCGGGCCAACATTATGTGGACTTTACAAAGCACCGCCTTCACGGAAGTGTCTGTGTGTTGGTTGGCGATAAATTGACATACTCCTGAGTTTATGCCTTAGGAAGTAAGAGTAAAGCACTGTAAGGCCTGCTCCCTATGGGATGGGACCTATTAGGAAAGCCTCTCATGCGGTGATTATGAGCTACGACCTGTCTTTGACTCTTCCTGGGGCTTGTGGTTACCACGACCTCCAAGTAGTTGGAACAACATACCTCCTTGGTAGCTTGTCTGATATGTTGTCTTGGCACAATCCTAACAATGACCCCGTTGCATTACATTCTACAGCTTTACCTCCTCGTTCACTCGTAAGTACTTGGATGTTTGTGAGTACTGTTTATACTTTATCTTAGTAATGCGTCTGCTGAGATGAGAGAAGTAGATCTGCATTGTAAATCTTTAACCTGATTCTGACAGGCGTAGTCTTGGATGATACTTCACATAATAATATTGTCCAGGGTTCAACCTTTTTCTCCAGAAGGCACGCTTTTCTAAAAATCTTAAGCCAATTGTGAATCTCTCTTTCTCTAGTCGTAGCTACAGAACTTTGGTAAAAATGCCGGGAGTCACTCGTGGCATAAGCCTAGAGTCTCTCGTGGCACAAGTTTTTGCTAATATCACCCAGATTCACTCTCGTTACACCCCAGGCTATATAGGACTAGGGTTCATACTCAGCAGGGCTGTTTTAAATCCCATGAAGCCCAGCTGTCTTTGGCTGTTAGTGTAACTTGTTGACTGTTTAGCCTGTATGAAAGTGGGTCTGTTTATGATCAGGCACTGGAATATCTGGTGGGAAAACTGATTTCAAAGCCCAGTAGCTCATAGTCCCCCAAGGGGTCGTCCCATTCCAGTGAAACTCTATCTTCTGCTTGGGATGATAAGATTTTATCTGCACGAGCAATCCTAGCTTATTTCACAAGTTGCACCTTCGAATGAAGATTGGGAAGAGGTCTCGGTCACGTCAGTCAGCGAAGATTGCTGCGCATGCCCGAATGGAGGCGGGCTAGAGTAGCTAGCTAGAGAGCTAGAGATGATCGGCGCATATCGTGTAAAAATTTGGAAATGATTCGGATAAAAAGAAACGCGTAACGAAGCCGCGCATGCGCACCTACAATCGCGCCTTTTGGCAAGCCGCGCAAGCGCACCTACAATCGCGCCTTTTGGTGTGTCTTTTTTGTTGGGGCTTTGCCCCAAATTGGAACAAGTGGAATTTCAATGAAATGAAAGGGGATGGTAGGACATCATGAAAAAGAAAGGGAACAAGAAGATGCCTACACCAAGACAGATAGTCATTCATAACCCCATCCCTACATCTATAATTTGTTTCTTTCAGTTTATGTACACATGCGGATGCTTAGAGGTTTTTATGATCTTTTCGTTGCCTAATGTAGCAAATCGTTTCTGAGCAAAACGAAGATGTAGGGATGGGGTTATGAATGACTATCTGCCTTGGCGTAGGCATGTTTTGTTCCCTTTCTTTTTCTTGATTTTTCCACTTGTTATAATGGTGATGGAGAAGGTCTTACAATGTCTTATACTGGCATGGATAATGCCCATGGGCTGCACATTGTGGAGTAGCAAGTGGATTACATATGTAAGCTTTGAGGGTTCTGGAATGCTGTGGGCGTCCTCTGACCTTTGATCCATGCTCTAGCCTAGGTATTGGTGTCTTAGCTACCATTTCTACTCACAGTGTAAGGATTCCATTTCTACTTACAGTGTAAGGTGAAAATTGAAGTAAGATGGTATGGATGGTTTCATCGGTAATTGTGCTATACTTTCTAAGTAATGGTAAGTCGCACACATAAGATTGTTTTATGTACATCTACATACAAAGACGTACGCCGTACAGTCTTAGGACAAGTTGGAGAAAATGGAATCAGTACCAGTGACCGAATCCCTGAGTCTCCAGATGATACAGAAGAAACAAGGGAATTCAATATACTAAGCATTGGAAGCCAAAGGTTATCGTCAGGTTCCATCTACACTCGCTGGGGTAACAACTCCTGTCCAGATGTGAATGGGACAGAGCTTGTGTACTCTGGCCGAGTCGCTGGAAGTCAGCATGGAACAGACTATGTGTGTATGCCAGATGATCCAGAATACCGCCCCTGCGAACATGATGGATGTGAGACAATGAATGGAGTGGGACTGTTTAATTATACTTCAGTCACCTCTTGCTTTGTTCTTTGTGCCATCTGCTACTTACCCACAAGAAGCACTGTTCTTATGATCCCTTCTAAGGTGACATGTCCTACGAACTGGACTTACGAATACAGCGGATTGCTGATGACAGACCGAAGTAACCACAGCCAACATGAGTGTGTTGATAAAGCCTTACGTTGTAATGAGATCACAGGGGCAGAACCACAGACAATACTTTACCCTCTATATGCCTGTAATTACTGCTATCGAAAGCCCATCACATGTGTTGTGTGCACCCGCTAGCACCTTATACTCTGTTGCAAAATATCGTACAGATGCAGATATAAAGTTACAAGAAATTACTTCTTAACTCCTCAAACTTGTTGATGGTAGCACACATGGAGATGAAACTTAGTGTGCATGCCTATTCCACCGTTTCCATGACTGACTGACATTTCTCCTAAAATCCTATATATCTATAGTCACATCAAGGTCCCTGTTTTTACTGGTATTAAATTAATGTCTCCAGGTTGCTATTTAAGGTCTGACCTAATTAATTGCATTGTCTCTGGCCCTAGTGCAATTGCTACCGCCTGATCATTGTGTAAGCAACAACTAATCTATTTCGTTATGGAACTGTTCACCTGCTGAATCTGTCACTGCCACTTCATTTTCTCTTTTTAAGCATTACACACTTCCTTTGTTAATTCATGTTTGAATGGGCCCGCCCGGGCATGACATGTATACAGACAAGTTAAAAAACATGTAGGAAGCATAACACATGACTGAAGAAGGTGGGGTCCATGGTAGTCAAAGAGTCAAGTAGAGTGCACCAGGAGTTGTCACTTTTTGTGTGGTTGGTGATGACATGTTCGGCCAGAGTTGGTTTATCCAGATCAGCTGTATCGCACAGAGGACATTTGCTGGGTGAATGATCTGGGTAGGTAATCACCCTCACAAGGTTCTTCATCCCCTTAATAACTGAGGGGCCGTGATCCAGTGCATGATCCCACAACTTCTTCCACCTAACACACTCGGCGATCTTGTGCACAAACTGATGTTTGGAGACCTTTTGTAGCAGCAGCAGTTGGTCTTTCTTGTTGATGATACTTTTGTGCATTTCTGATGATGTTAAGCCCATCTGCGAGCTCATTGGCACTCAGTATGTCTGATGTAAAATTCTACTTGTACCTCTCCTCCAGTTCCGTGCATTCCCTCACTAGACTGAGTGCCTCCACGTCATCTACCATAGCTGAGAAAGCTCGATGACAGATGCTTTCCTCATTTGTCATGACTCTCTGCAGCAACCTTAGTTTTCTGATGGTGCAAACTGAGTGGAGTGAGTTCCAGAACAATTACCCCCAGGCACTTTGTTTAAAACTGCTAACAGTATATAGCACGCAAAGAGATGAAACTTGGTATGTATGCATGCGTACATTGTGTTCATTGTTCGAACAACCCTCAGGCACCTTTCTTCACTTCTCAAACTTGTTAACGGTAGCCTGCATGAAGATTGAAACTTTGTACGCATGCGTATTACATTATAATTGAGCTGTCTGGTGGAAGAATTACATATGTCCACTAAAAGGGTATATTACAGTTTACTAGCTATTCAAGGGTTGCTCGCTCAACCTATTCTTGGTGATATGCTCAGAGCCTGCTAAATACGCCCCCGCAAGTAAAAGGTCAAAGGTCGCGCATTGTTTGCGCATGCGCATACGCTTGACCTTCAGCACGTTGCTGTTTCGTTTGTGTGGGAGCAAGAAGGGCACTTTGCAGGCACGAGACACGGCGCGCAGGCATGGACGCAGCCTCCAGCCCAAGTAGTGAGCCTCGCCCTGGTCCAAGCGGACTCTCCATTCACGCCACGGTGGCACTCACCATTGAATGTGCCGGGAATGGCCGTTCATCTAACGGTTCGAGCGAAACCCCTCAGCGACCCAGGAAAAGGCCACGGAGGCCAGAGGCTTGGAAGCGTACTGTGGCCAAAGCCAAGAGAGCGCGGGTGGGAGGAGTACGTGTCCCCATCCACAGGAAAAACGGTCGCGGCCAGGACGACTGGACCACCGTGCAGCTGTAGACAGAAATGCTTCGAGCGTTTCAGCCAAAGAGAAATGGCCGACGTCCTAGATTCCTTCTACGATCTCGAGGACAAAGAGCTACAAGATGCTCATCTTTTTGGGCTGATCCGACCCAACGCGGTCAAGAGGCGCCGTCCTCGAGCCGGCGGGAATACTTCGAGGCTAGCGACGTACACTTACACGGTAAGTCTATTGGTTAGCAGCCTGGGATGATGCCACAGTGTAACCATTGATGCTACTTGTAAAACACTGGGGCGGAAGGCTGCTGCAACGGAGGGGCATTAAATAGAACATGGCTCGTTGTGCCATCGTGAACATAGAGCTCTTTCTCTTCTCCCTCTAGGTTCGCAGTGTTGGGAAGACCGAAACAGTCTGCCAAAGGGCATTTGCATCTCTTCACGGTATCTCAATTGGTCGTGTCCGTCGAATTGCAAAGGCTTCTGCAACAGCAATCTGCGCACCAAAAGACAATGCCTGCCAAAGGCCTGCATACGTCTTCCCAACACTGCGAACCTAGAGGGAGAAGAGAAAGAGCTCTATGTTCACGATGGCACAACGAGCCATGTTCTATTTAATGCCCCTCCGTTGCAGCAGCCTTCCGCCCCAGTGTTTTACAAGTAGCATCAATGGTTACACTGTGGCATCATCCCAGGATGCTAACCAATAGACTTACCGTGTAAGTGTACGTCGCTCGCCTCGGAGTATTCCCGCCGGCTCGAGGACGGCGCCTCTTGACCGCGTTGGGTCGGATCAGCCCAAAAAGATGAGCATCTTGTAGCTCTTTGTCCTCGAGATCGTAGAAGGAATCTAGGACGTCGGCCATTTCTCTTTGGCTGAAACGCCCGAAGCATTTCTGTCTACAGCTGCACGGTGGTCCAGTCGTCCTGGCCGCGACCGTTTTTCCTGTGGATGGAGACACGTACTCCTCCCCCCGCGCTCTCTTGGCTTTGGCCACAGTACGCTTCCAAGCCTCTGGCCTCCGTGGCCTTTTCCTGGGTCGCTGAGGGGTTTCGCTCGAACCGTTAGATGAACGGCCATTCCCGGCACATTCAATGGTGAGTGCCACCGTGGCGTGAATGGAGAGTCCGCTTGGACCAGGGCGAGGCTCACTACTTGGGCTGGAGGCTGCGTCCATGCCTGCGCGCCGTGTCTCGTGCCTGCAAAGTGCCCTTCTTGCTCCCACCCAAACGAAACAGCAACGTCTGAAGTCAGCGTATGCGCATGCGCAAACAATGCGCGCCTACCTTTAACTTGCGGGGGCGTATTTAGCAGGCTCCGAGCATATCACCAAGAATAGGTTGAGCGTGCAACCCTTGAATAGCTAGTAAACTGTAATATACCCTATTAGTGGACATATGTAATTCTTCCACCAGACTGCTCAATTATAATGACTACATATTTGTAAACAACAACACCCATTTTCTCTATTGAATTTAAAAGAGAGGCTTATAGGGATGAAAAGGAAGACAAGATAGAGATGACATGAATGAGCATGCTGACACCCCCGACCCCATAATTATGCCTATATAGGTGAAGTATTAAAAAAAAAGCGAAAAGGTCTGGATTGAGTGAGACATGTCATAAATGTCTCAGCCGGTTGAAAGGCCGATTGCATAGCGCGCGTGCGCGGAATGAAGGGGGTGTGTATGTCGATTTGGGCAGGAAACACGCATGCGCAATGGAGACGGGCCGAAACGCCGATCGCTGCGCCCGCAGATACAGTGCGACTTTTATCAGTTGTAGCTAGCTAGTTTCTACCAAGATGCTATCATCCTCGCTGTCATTCTGTGTTTGTGCCCTGGCTGTTGTGTTAACCCTCGTTAAAGGTATTGGCTAGTTAGCTACTAGCTACACGTCGCAGCTATCAATCTCGCTAATTGTTCCGTTCATTATCAGGTAAAGATGAGTGTACCACCGGCTTTATGACTCAAGACAGGATAGATTTCTTGTTAGGAAATATCAACAAGGAAAACGTAGTGTTTAGTGCACCAAGTCTCCAATGGATTTTTCCTGGGGCTACTTTCACTTGCAATGGAAATATTCAGGGCTGGATTTTTGGGGCACAGTTTGGTTTAAACACCAGTTCCTCCATGGAACTTCAGATATGGAGACCTACTGGTGCAAAGGGATCTTACACAAAAGTTTGGAAAACTGTAGTTTCAGAGCGAAATGCTTCAAATACTTACTATTATCTTCTCCCTTCTGCTTTTTCATTCCGAGCAGGGGATGTACTTGGATATTACCAGCCATCAAGAAGCAAGTTGCTACTTCTCCTTGAGAGCAGCTATAATGTAGATGCCGCATACAATGTGACTAGTTCTAATGCAGCGAGTTATATTACTTTTGATGATTCTAGTGTGAATTCAACTTCATTCAAGGCCATCATCAATCCAATCACAGGTAAGGTTATAGAAGAAGCATATCTACCATCATTTATTTCCCCCTTATTATTCTGTAGACTCTGTAAACTGTGTTCGGGGTTTTATGGGTTTTGAGAGGATTAGATATTTACTGGAGCCGAGTGAAACCCCACCATCTGTCACAGCAAAAAATGACATGCGGCAACAAATTACCCCATCAATGAGGTTCATTTGTAATGGAGTGATCACCAAGTGGATATTTGGAGCTGAATGGAGCAACCAAGTTGCAATTATACAACTTCCCGAACTTCAGGTTTGGAGGGACATTGGAAACAACACGTACAAAAAAGTATATGGAACGAAACTAAGAAATGTTTCCCAGAATGACAATAGAACTTATGAATATGGCAACTTTCAACCGATTGAGGTCAAGGTTGGGGATATTTTTGGAATGTATGTACCTCCTGTGTCTCTCTCTACTCTTCAACTTTTGTCTGAGGAAAGGGATGCTCCAACTAATTACTATCTGCCTCTATCACAAGAGACTGTCATTGATATTACTCCATCAGCCCCACCGTTTATGCAGCAGAACTACCATCCCTTAGTATCAGGTATAAAATTACACTCTGCCTTGCTGCGAAGTAATTTACTTGATTTTTGCTTTCTCACAGTGTTGACAGAATCCTATGAGTCCGATATGCCTGTAAGTACACTAGTAAGTAACATGACACCATCACACTGCAACTCTAACACCCACACAGATGACCACATCATTGGCTATTCCCATAGCTATTGGAGTAGGCTGTGCACTACTAGTTGTGATAGGCACAGCTGCTACTGTCTCCCTGTTCCTGCGAAGATCAAGAAAAGGGACAAATAGGACTGCAGATAACACAACACAACAGGGGAATGATAACAGTGATATTACGATGACCGACAATATGGCACATGTTGCAACAAGCGCATGCAGTTACAACTATCTTAGTATCGACCAACCGTATTCGTATGCCAGAGAGCCAACTGCAACTGTTTCTGTTTTATCCTCCAATGCTGCTTATAATAATCACACTACTAATGATGAAAGTTCAAGCAAAAATACCTCTGGATCTGAATGTGTGAGCATAGAAGAAAATAGTGCATATGGGGCTAACATTGAAAACGAGGGACTTTATATTTCCTGTGATGTGGACCAGGATGTGTGCTATTCTTATGCAAGAGATCCAACATTGGCTTTCCTGTCTTCAAATGCAGCGTACAACACCCACACTGCAAAAATGACAACGAGTCTCCAAATGAGCAAGAGGATGGAGAAATAAATGCTGAAAGAAATGTTGCTTATGGAGAAGAATGGGAGCCAGGCAATTATAAAATGTTCAACGTTACGCGCATGCGCTTTTTATGATAAAAGTTGTAAACTCACGCACGCGCGTATGAGGGAGCGCGCGATGGCGGTGTCATCTGGACTTAGTAGTCGTCGCCAGGCTAGGCTACAGCAGGATATACAGTCGATCACTGCTCTCTGCTCTGCCAACCCTGTCCTACAAGGTGGTTGTTTCACACCAGTGTTGAGTGGAATTAGCTCGTAACTATAGTTGGCTAAAGGGTAGTAGATCTATCCACACGCGCTTGTGACTCTATACTCTCCTGTAGTTTTCACCCCACCGACCAGCGAGTCCTTGGTCGTCTTACTTAACGGTCCAACACACAGGTATGTGGTTTGTACAGGTTACATGTATTTAGATAAGTGTGCTGGCTGAGAGGATGGGTGTATACAAGCCTGACTCGCCGTTGTCTGGGTTTAGCTGGTTGGGTAAGCGATGGAGTGAAATTAATGGCATAATTCCACACAATGCGTAAATGCAAATTGGGATTGGCCCCCATGCAGGTGACTGGTCATTCCTCTTGACTGGGGCAAAATTATGATGCATCAATCACAGGGTTTAAACAAAAGGCATATCGTACAACTCAATGTCACCTACCTAGCATGCCGAGGGTTAATATGTGGGGTTTGGATGCCCTCACGTAATATTTAAGTTGCCAGTGCATGTTTGACAGAGCCAGGAAGTAAATTTATTTCCGGATAATGACAAGCAGGTCATGTGGGTATTAACATTCTCATAGCCGCACTCTTAGGAATGGAATATCTGTGGAAGAGGACATAAGTGAGGTTGTATCTGGGCTCTTGATATTGCTGCTGTATGTTTGACTCCTGTAAAATTAGAATTTTAAAAGTGTAGCAGTGTTAATAAAGATGGAACAAAAGTATAGGGCCGAATCCTAAATTTATGTATACCGTTTACTCATGGACATGCTATATTTTTGCTGCTCCAATAACCTGAACTTTGGTAGCAGGTTTATGGTTGCAACCATTATTATGAGGGTTTTTTCCAGGGCAGAGTACACCTTCACTTTCACTGAGGACTATCCAGGTTTGGAGTTTTTATGCTTGCTTTTTTTGACTCTCTTTGTAATTGGTGTGCAAACCTATTATTGTAGTATTGCAAACCTATTATTGCAAGACTTCCCCTTCTTTTTCCCTCTCTCCTTACAGAGAACACTATTGTAGTTTGTTCCCAAGAAGCGGACAATGTAGTAGTGATCTCAAAACCACTTACCATAGCTGTGTGGGAAATATGTGCAGGTGATTTAATGGTGACATTCCAATTCTTTTTTAGTATTGACGTCCTTGGGAAGTTGGGGAAATACTCCCTCCAATAGCCTTGCTACCAAATAAGGAAAAGAGGAAATAGCGTTATGCGTAACCTCTTTATTGTTTACTGCAGAAACAACTGGTAGGCAATCAATACTGTGTCCATTCCTTGTGTCTTTTCTCCCGTCGGTACATGATGTTTAGCGAATGATGCGTTAGAGCAGAAAAATGCTTCTCGGAACCCAGGCCTTCCCCTATTACACGATGTATGTACTGTATCCAGCGAAAAACGGGGAAAGCCTGGGCCCGAGCATCACGTGAGGGTAAATGCTGTGTAGACTGTACTGTGCTCCCACACAATTAGAATATGCTCTGAAACGGCAGCACATTCAGGGAACTGGTCAAATGCTAGCTGCTTCCCTATTACTACTTACTGAGCCCTGCCTACCCACCAGCGAGCTTCCTGAGTGTTCTTGGTATCTGTAGGCACATGGAAGGGCTTGTGTGGGGCCAAGTCTCCCCTCATGGGATGCTTGAGCCCAGGCCTTCCCTGTTTTTCACGGAGATTGCCCATGCACAATTATTCCGCGCATAAATATACGTACTACTATATGGGGAAAGCTTGGGTTCAGAGGCTAGACAAATGCCACTCGAATGAAAAGCACTGAAGTGCAAACCCTCAGCACAAAAAAACACGCACTGATATGCTCAGTTTGCATGCACCATGAATTGATGGGCTTGGCCACACCTCACGATCTAACCAGTCACAGAGTTTGTTTTTCCTGCTTCAGTTTGTAGCATTTAAAGTAAGACTGGACTAGTCACTTTAGTGGTCCACGGTGCGTGAACAGGCTAAATGTGGTCGAGGTACAGACAATGCTGATTGTAAATTCGCTTGTTTCATACCATATGTAATGCTGTCATTGCAAGGAATTCGCCTTTTACTTTGAAGCTGTAGGCATCGCTTATTTGCCACCTCGTAGCCTGTTGGGCATGTAGCTGCTGAAAAACAGACCGATGAACACTGACCAAATTTTGTAACCCTCGCTGCACGGGTTAATAATTATAAATACATACCCTCCCCTGCAGTTGGGAATGAGGCTGTATTGTACATACATGTGTAATTTCATTAATCCAGTTTATATAGGCATTTTTTCTGTGATATTGGCAGAAAATGGTGTGTCACTATTTTCTGGCTCCTCTGATCGACTTTGGCATGATGGTGGTGGAATTGTACCGGGCCATGAAGGTGGTGGAATGGTACCGGGCCATGAAGGTGGTGGAATGGTACCGGGCCATGAAGGTGGTGAAATGGGACCGGGCCATGAAGGTAGTGAAATGGGACCGGGCCATGAAGGTGGTGGAATGGTACCGGGCCATGAAGGTGGTGGAATGGTACCTGGCCATGAAGGTGGTGAAATGGGACCGGGCCATGAAGGTGGTGAAATGGGACCGGGCCATGAAGGTGGTGGAACAGTAGAAATGGAAGAGGATGCTCACCCTCACAGTGAAGATACTCCTCTATCACTTGGCACTCAAGTAAGACTAATATCTCTGAATTAAAATATGGGATGTATAGGAATGTCATAAAGTATAAACAAAAGTATCTGCGAAGATACGTTGATGTGCACAATGCACATGCTGTTAGGCACTGCTGATTGGGCGGGGCCACACCATGCGGCCTGTCAACCGAGCCAGTTTTTCGTACTAGTTGCATCAGCAAATGATGTTTAGGGCAATGCTGGGCAAGGAGCCAGTGTTCATTACGGATATTGCTTCTTTTAATGGACCACAGTCGTTTGCCTAGAAGGGAGGGATTATGTATGTTGTCTTTGAACAGGCTTTTACGCATAGGAAGAATGTAGTTAATGTACACAGCCATGTGATGGGGTGTGCCAACATGGTAGTCATATGGCAGTATTATGCATTGCAAACTAATTGGCTGTGCCAACATCCCAGCGGCAACGCACAAAAACCTGTTCAAATACACCATACATACACACATACGTAATTTTACCTCTCCCCCTTTAAATGCTTGTGCCTCAACGCATGTGTGAAAATGTTTGTACTGATGGCCCACGTGCAAGAGTCCACAAACTCCACAATAATGCCTGGAATGCAGCACATGGTTATTGGTTTCTCAATACCATGAGGGAAGGGCTAGGGCTAAGACTAACTGATGTCAAGCTTTGAAGATTGTTATGCTGTTCTTGTGCAGGTTTCTGTTACTAGTTCAGAGTGCTTAGACGAGGAGTTCTATGAAGACTATGATGTAAGGATTGAGATTTACTGTTGTGTATGAATCTACGAAATGCGAAGATGATGAGTGCAAAGTGAGCGAAGCATTGATACCTAGGGCAACACCAAAGAAAAAAGAGCTACCCTGGGTGAGACTCGAACCTACAATATGCTGGAGTCTTTGTAGACTGCTCTACCCACTGAGCTACTAGGTTGGAGAGCTCAATGCACAATACAGAGCGAAGAAAACCCCGAATTACTCTGGCTGGAATTTCATACTTAACAAAGCATGTGCACGTACTAGTTGAAATGTGTAGCACTCTGGCTGAACACAGTTACCTCTGCAGCTGAGATAGCTACATAGTAGTTAGCCTTGTAAACCCTCGGTGCACATAGAAGCAAGGGTTACAGTGCTTGGTCTGTGTGTGTGGGTGTGTGTGTGTCTGTCGGCCGACGCCTATTCTCACACTACAAGCTACAAGGTGGCCCATGAACGATACCAACGACTTCAGAACTACACGAACCTGAAAAATAATTAGGTGATTTCCTGAAACGACTGCATTTGAGAGCGAGAAACTGGCACGGTCGCGGACCGAGCTGTGTGGCCCAACCCATCAATTGGCTGTGCACATGCGTACATTATACGCGTTCGAAATGCGCAGCATGGCTGACCTCGACCGGGTCGCTCTGTGTATCTTGAAGGCACAATAAGTCACAACAAAGGGCATGTATCGACTCTCGCATGTGTATCTACTACTGTAGCTAGCCCGTACCAGACTTTCTGCGAGCTACTAGCGGGAGAAGCGCATACTGATAGCCCAGCCCATCAATTAGCGGTATGGCACACGCACAGTTCGGCGAGGGTTTGCACTTCAGTGCTTTACAAATGGTTACTACGTTGTACTGTAGCTTGACTGACATCCCTGCAGAGATTTTACTTAAGTGACCAAATGGCACCAAAATTCAGTGGAGAAATGGCTCTACTGCCTAGCTAGAGAGAAAGTAAAGCTAAGTTAAGATCGAGAACTCGCATTATTCAGCACTATTTTACGTATCTAAATACATGCACATTGTGACAATGCATGGTAGAAAGTCGAACCAATCAATTACTTCGTTGCCTGGCTCAACTCAACTGTTTGGTACTGATACAGTATTTTACTTGCACTGGCCAGTGTTATGATCCAGATATGACAGAGGAGAATGTAGTCCATCCTCTACTGGAGAGAGAGCTTGACCTGGTGCAAGCTGTGTACGGTCAGAATGCCCTCGAAACAAGGTGTGTGCAGTATTTGTTTGGCTCTATTGTTACTGATGCATCATAGAATTCATGGTGGAATTGATGAGATGGACATCTTTATCAACATTGATCTCAACACTTTTCTGGATGTGAGTTTTTGCCTGAGTTTTTGTGCCAATGAAAACTAGCCATGTATAAAAAAGGCCTCGGTTAAATCCCATTTTGAATGAGTCGTGCAATGTACTTACAATATTTTGTACACGGGTATCAGTTCTAGCAAACTGAATAGCCGCTTTCTGTTCACACAATGATAAAACAGCCATGGCTTAATAAGAGCAGACTGGTACCAACAGTGGAGTATGCTTTCATTGCCTCTAGACCTGTGCCTCACGGGTGTATGACTGCAGCACAGTTTAATGTCAATATTTAGCTTGTTGTGTTGTTTGCCTTGTCTTCTCATGTAAGTAATCTTAAGACGTGCAGTGGGTGTGAAAATTTACTTAACGTATAGTGCCTCATATTTCCTCACCCACACATGTACAAAAACAGAATCTAAGCAAATGTTGGAGAAGTATTGGGCTAGATTTCCAGCTATATGCGAGCTTAGCTGTAAATATGTAATATGTAATAATATTACAACATGTAGAGCAGCTCTTATGCACATGCATGCACTTCACTAATGTATGTAGAGTAAATTTATTTTATCGTATTTTCATAGGAGCACATGGCCTCTGCATGGGGAGTCAACGAGAGTCAGCCCCTGATAATCTTGCTGCACATCCTGAGCATCAGCAAGTATTTGGAGGGTCTAGGTGTGTGGACACATTCCAGATTTGGTGCACCATGAGCAGTGTTTTCATATCTTCATTAAGCCAAAGCTAAAACTTGGGGAGTTTTTTGGATATACGTGCTACAGTGTGCTCCTTCCTGTGTGTTACAACAGAAGTACGTACAGTATTACCCTCGGTGTGCACGTGCAGCGAGGGTTACTGTGTGTCTCTTCGTCGGTTGGTTACCGCAATATATTCCACGACACACAACAACCTTGCTTACCTCGACTGGACTCTGAAAGTTCTTATGCGTAGTCTTACCTACAACGCCATAGCCTGTATAAGAGCAAGAGCGAACATGCAGCTGGACCGTGTGTGGTAGTTGATCACACAGCAGTACTTCAGTGCATGCTGAGTGAGAGTACACTGTGCCATAGCCCAGTGGTTTGTGGTTTTCCATTGTGGTGTATTACTTTGAATGAACCCATACCAGCTGGGTTCAGTGGGTAGAGCACTCACCTAGTCTGCAGAGTGTCGTGGGTTCGAATCCTATTCTTTTTTTCGTTGCACAGTGCAGTGATTTAGCACTTTAGTGTGTCTTTCATGTTCACAGAACCCAAGGTGAATGTGTTCCAAGTCAAGGACGATGTGGCACCAACAGCCAGTGCTTATGATGCAAGCACTAAGAGACGCAAAATTGGCATCTCCAGCCAACTTGAAAAGTGAGCAGATGCTGGCTAATGATATTCTTTGTACTTGAAACGATACATGTTTTATATACATTAGTTGTGTACATGCATATTAACACGCTTACGCGAATTACAGTGAGATGGGCACATAATATAGTGAGATGTCTTTATTTCAGGGGTTAAATTGCATGCCAAACTCTCTGCGAGGAGGAAAGACGTTTTATAGGTATACTTGTACTATCTATTGGGTGAATTTTTAACTCTTGGCGTGCATGCTTGCCTTGCCTTTCTACCTCATTACCAAGTTGTTGAGACATGCGCAGCGAGGGTTACAGTACTTGGTCTGTCTGTCTGTCTGTGTGTGTGTTTTTCTATGCCTATTCTCACAGTACAGGCTACATGAGTGATACCTGGGCTATGAAAGCATAAGAAGGCGATTTTCCTGAAACGACTGCATTCCAGAGATATGACATGAAAACAAGAGAAAAAGCCAGCATGCATGTACGCGATTGCAGTGTGCGATCGATCGTGCATGTGCCCCTGCTGGCTGGCTACGCTGGCGCACACGCTTCATGCCAGTGTTAGCGTGCGCATACCCGGAAAATGGCATGTGGTTGTTTTAGTTGCCAGGACGGACAAGCAGTTTTTTGAGTGTTCAGTTTTGATGTCTGTTCTCTTTGTTCCCAAAGTTGAGCAAGGTATGTCCGCAATGTAGCACAACAGTTCACGTGAGATGAGCAGTTTGTGGATGCGTGCCTTCCCATCTAAACGTAAAGCGCAGTCTCGCAAGCAATGAAACACATGCTAAAATTATCGCTCCAGTAATAGCTCTGCATGGGTATACGCTGAGGGTTTGCACTTTAGTTCTTTTCTTTAAGAGTGTAAGTGTCCTCTTCAAACTGTGTACATTCGTGGCCGCAGCTTTTGAATTGTCAAAGCTACAATAATAATTTTGCAGGCAAGACCAGGAGTGATGTATAGTCATATAGCACAAAGCATGTATAAGTTACCGATGTATCTACTTTAAGAAGTATACATGCACTCTCCAGAATTTTGCAGGCATTTGTTTCGAAGCAGTGGCGAAAAATCAGTGTATCCACTGTTGAAAGAGCAAGTGAGATTACTTAGTGTAGATTATATATTGTTTTTGTGTAAAATAGCACATAATTACCCTCGGCGTGCATGCACAGCGAGGGTATGGTAGTTGGGTCGGTCTGTGTGTGTGTCTGTGTGTCTGTTACTCTACATCTCACTTCTCGGGTGTTTGTTCGTCTCACAAAGGATACAACCTACTTAACAGGCAATGAAGGTCAGAAATTTCGAACGGTGTTCTCTGAAAATGCTCCATTGCAAAGCTAGAGCGCTTCCAGCGTTGTACGTCTAATGCTGGCAGTCGCCATTTTATCGCTGCAGAAAATGCGCATGCGGCTAAAGCTAACTAGCACAAGCTTACCTCGACCGGGCCCACTTGCTCTGTGTACCTAGGAGGCACAAGAAGTCACAACGAAGGGCGTGTATCGACTCCCGCATGCTATCTACTAGCCCGTGTCAGACTCTCCGCGAGCTACTAGCGGGAGACCACCACGAAATAGCCCAGCCCATCAATTAGCGGTACTCGCATGCGGCAGTTCGCCGAGGGTTTGCACTGTAGTGCTTTTCATTTTCCATGTATTGAGGAAGAAGCTTGGTTTGTCAGGTAAAAGGCATACTGTAGCTCTGAATTGTATGTCATTCACGTGTACTAAGTGCCCGCAGTGCCATTACTCCCACACAACTCATGCACACGTTTAATCGGGTGTGCATCATTTACAGTTCCCTCTTAAAGCAAGGCGGTTAGTCCATGGCATTAAGGTTTGTACAAGCCCGAGGGTCCTGCACAGGGCCATTTGGCTTCTAATGCACGTAGATTTCACAAACTTGCTGTCTAACTAATGTATGTCTACCTTGATCCTGTGACTTATTTGTGTGCAGTGTCCACAGTGTCTGCAATAGAATGTTTCTTAATTTCAGTGTCTGGTGAGACTCATTCGTCCAAGACCCCAGAAACGCGTCACATGGTGGACCCCAGGGAGGATGCCAAGCTGGCCAAGCTGGTGGAGATGGGGTTCAGGGCAGAGGAAGCCAGGGAGGCCCTCCACCAATGCCGGGGAGATGTGGAGGCTGCATGTGAGCTCCTGGCCACCACTCCTTCTGCAGCTTCCTCGTCTGGTGGTGGGAGTGGCTTCCTCTCCTCTCTTGTCAGGTATAGTAGCACATGATTATAGAAGGAACATTAGAGGCAAATAAAGTTGACAAGAATGTATCAAAAAAGGTTTTGCACCATGCTCCTTCATCAGTTGCACAATCTACATGACCAGCCCACATTATGAGGATGACAGTAGTGTCGACTCCACCAGGGTCCTAAGTTAACTGATTGACAAGATATTTAGTGTGAAAAACAGTATTTACATGTTGAAGATGCGTGTGAAGAAGCAACCAGCCTTGTGATGAAAGGAAAGCGGTAGTCTGTAACATTGTGTTATGCCTGTGGAAGTACCTTGTACATACAACTCAGAGGTCGAGGACTCGTCACATGCACATGAGAGCAGTGCTCAAGGGTGGCAGTTGTACATGTACACAAAACAGGCAGTGATACGTATTCTGTGAGACAGTGTAGAGTCCTCTGTCATGAGCCTAACTGACGTAAGAGAAGACCGAAGAAAGCTCCGTTTATTAGGGCCAATGATGACATGATCAACTTGATCAGAGGTGGTCATAAACCAAACCCGCACCGTCATTCCCGCTACAGCCCTAACTAAACATCATGTCATGTGTCTTAAAGGCCACAATTTCCTGCCTCTACATAATCGTACAGGTTAGGGTTTGTTTAATGTTTTGAAGTCCAGCTTATCACATGCATATCCGAAATCCTCAGGTGGGTATGGTCTAGGAAGATCATACTCCCTCCTACACTGTAATAACAATCACACTACACTCTCCCAAGTAACTCATGTACTGCACATTTACAGTAAGTATTACTCCTGCTGGTGGCACATGAATCAAAGTACATGTTTATCTCTTAAATTAAGTAAGTATTTCTGTACCCAAATCATGTAACAAGCTGCAGTACAAGGTTTCCTGCAGGTATAAACCTCATTTCTCACCAATAACCGTAATACTTTAAATGTAGTTTTCTGCCGGGATATATGCGACAAGACTCAATGGGAGCCCAGTTGGAAGTGACGGAACACCATGATCCTGAGGTTTGGTGTTAGCTCTCTGTACATGTTGTACATCTATTCACATGACGAGGGTGGAGCCTAAAGGTGTTACTGCTCCATGTTTGAATCTTATACAGCACCACAGTGTACATTGTAAAACCAGAATCATAGGAACTTGTACACAGCATGCTTAGAAAGTACATAGCGGGCTCAATCTGCACGACAAATGAGGACTGTGTTTTGCAGCACTAGGCTTGGTTCACAGTATGTAGTTTGCATCGCTCCATCCTGCATCCTGTTGTACCGTGAAGATAGAAAGGGACAGAAAAGGATCCTATCTTAGCGACGCGGCAAAGCTCGACTGCAGGTGTGCATGCAACATGTATTACCTATAAGTTGGTCGATGTCATGTGTATACATCTGAATCCCTAAGAGAGACAAAAGACCCCCCTAGTATGGAGAACGGGTTATGATCCACGGATGGTACGCTTGCACTCTACAGCACTGAAGTCTCTCACATGATTAATTCGGTGCTATGGTGTAAGAAAATACCTGTGCTTCGAGTCTTGGACTGTCAAAGTAATTGTCTCATTACGTCCCCTCAT